AAAGCGTTCACCATTTGTAAAAAAAAAAAAAAAAATCTCTGTTGGATTTTTTGTCTGCTTCTGGACATTGATTTTGTTCTAGAAATTGAATTTAGGTGTAATTCGGGGTTTGTTGTCAAAAAAGACACCGAGTTTGCCAGTGATATCAATGTTTTTTTTTTTTTCAGGAAAGAATACTAGTTTCACATATTTAATCAGATTGGACAAACGGTGCTCCCCCCCCCCCCACCCCCCCCCCCCCCTTTTTGTTAGTCCAGTAAGGCTGATGGACTATGTGGTCAACATCAGGCTGTCGCTTTTACTGCCGAAATCAATTCTGGGTGCCTATTTTAGGCTGGGCCGAGCTGATAGCCTTAATCAGTTAAGAAAATTTAACTCGGTGCGCATTCAAACTCAAAACCCTCGGATCGGCATTCAAGAGTTTAACCACTGTGCTACCACTGCTCCTTCTTTCAGAACAGGTTAGTTATAAATCTAGATGTATGCTCATCAAAAAATTGTTCTAGTCAAGAAACTAAACACACTGTAATCTAACACGACAAACAGCATTAGAAATATAGAGCAGAACTGCCGTGTTTCCCCGGGGCCGGGCGGTTACTCAACCCGAAAATAATCTCCAGCTATTTTTTTTTTTTTTAAGGATGCTCATAATATAAGCCCTTCATCATATCTATAAGCCCATTTTCAGCTCTTGAGCCCCATAGATGGATGTCGTTATTACGTTGAAACACACGACATAATTGATGAAATAGACAGTAATGAACGTATAAATATATAACAATATTGACATCAATGCTTAAAAAATGAAATTAGAAATTATAATTACGCATTCTTTGAAAAAATTAATAAAAGAACGCAAAAAACATATAATTAAATAATAATAATAATAATAAGAGTAGGACATTCCCTGAAAATAAACCCAAAGGAGCAAGTATAATATAAGATCCGGTTTTGTTTTCCGGGAAACAAGGTGGGGACTCAAAGTTTCATGGCTGTGTAACTTAGGCTGGAAATAATGCAGGAAAAGGCGTGGGGGGGGGGGGGGAGGGGATGGGTGGATTGGAAGTATATTTTTAATGACTGGCATTACAGATGAAACAACGTTGTGTGCAGTCGAGATGGTCAACACTACACGACGCGGACAACAAGAAGACTTTAGTCCAATAATATGCACTACTGTATGCATGAAATAAACGATCTAAGTTTATTTTAAAATGTGTTCAGCACGTACGTATTATTCCTGCACAGCTTCGCCACTGAAGCTATTTCATACAATGCTTTGACTAAACACAGTTTGTATTGTTGCTTTTAGGCACTTTGCATGTTTAAAAATCTTGTTAGTGTCTTGCAATGTGCATTTTAATTTCACCAGTCTTTAAAAAAAAAAAAACTCTTTTTATAATCTAGGAAGCAATCCTTTTTGTTAACCCTCTTTTTTTTACATCCAGAAATTTCTTATTTTTCACTAACACCATTTTACATCACAAAGCACTTTCTTTTCAGAAATATTATTTTAATCCAGAAGATGGTTTAAATTTAAATTTTACATGTTATTAATCCTGGTAACTGTACATGTTAATGAAAGCATTAAAAGAGATATACATAATTATTGTTATAGATAATTTATATAATGATAATGTAGACAACATTAATTAGTAGATCTGATAAACTTCCATGATTGCCTCAGAATCTAATTGAATCAAATAAACTCGATTGTGATTACATGAGATAAATATATGGATAAGATGACTTTAAAGTGTGATTGTAATGAACGAATACATAATATTATATATATATATGTACATGGATATGCTTCATAAAAAGAATTTATTATGTTTTCACTTTTTATTTATATCTATTATCATATTCTTGCGCGACCATAATTGATGTTGTTGTCTTCTGTTAAATGTTGCATAAGATTTTATAATTTTTTTTTTAATAATTAGCTTTCTGCATTAAACATTCTCATTTGATTGTCTTTATTTAAAGTATTTACTTCTTTGTAGTAACGCATGCTCTCAATTTTAACCAAAGTTTCTTCTGTGAGATAATTAATTTCCTTATGTTCGTTTAAAAGTTTTAATTGTAGTTACTGTAACTTATATGTTCACTTTTAATAAATTTTCCCGTCTATAGTCCCTCATTTATGTAGCCGTCAACCTCTCAATAAAACTAGTTCATCCGTTTTTCAGTAGTTATTCTTCTTTCAGTTTTCAATTAAAAGTTTCATAATTTATTATCATTTCAGTTATATTTCGTTGAAATATTTAACATACCCTTAGTTTATGTGTGTTTTTATTCTCAGTTAAGGTTTAGATGCATAGTCTTTAGATAATATCGTTGATTCTTCGTCAAAAAAAAACAACCTTTTTTTTTGGGAGGGGGGGGGGGGGGGGGGGGAATAAACGCGAAGAAATGTGAAGCTGGCTTCCATGCAAACCATTTAAGCGTCATTGTTGAAGTTTATTAACTGTTTGTATATCAATGTTTACAGGACCCGAGCAACCCAAAAACAACAGAAGGTGACGAACAGCAAAAGACAGACAAAGACAAAACAATAGCACAAAAGCCAGAGGTAAGTGTATAATCCATTTGTGCATTTTATATTCCTGTGTTTCTTGTTATTGTTCCTCCTCCTCCTATCTTCTTCTTCTCTTTTCCTTTCCGTCTTCCTCTTTTATCCTCCTCCTCTTCTTTTTATTTTTCTTCTTATACTCCGTGTTTTTTTTTTCCTTCTCCATATTGTGTACAGGCTGGCTGCGTTTTGAACGTGTGGTTTTTCTGCACTGACGCACACGCGGCTCTTAGCTGTTGTCTACCGTGACAGCGTGTGTGTGTGCGCGCTCGCGGATACTCACACGGATGCTTTTATGCGAAGGTTAAAAGAAAATGGGTGGTGGCAGAGGGGGGGGGGAGTGTACAGCATATCGTTATTACATGACCACCATCTTGCACCTTATCATATGGCATGGTAGTTCATGTTTCGCCTCAGGTCACATTACTTGGTTTTCTGGATCACTTCTGTTTTCCCCAACTGTCTTTATATCTTCTACAGTGAGTATTTTCAGTCGTTGCCTTTTCTTCTTATTACATGGTCAAATGAAACTGTTTATATTTTTCTTACAACTGCCTGTAATGTAATATTGTTTTCTTTTCTTTTTCTACAGGTCACTGTTGCGTACCCTATCAGCCCAGTGTATTATGTTAGTTGCGTATTCTTTACAGGACGTTGCAGAACCAACCCAAAAGGCCCCTGGCTGTTGTGTGGTTTTTCTAGGCAAATTTACGTCCAGTAATTTGACATTGTTTCTGGAGGGTCGGCTTTCTTGATACCACTGTCGAAACCATCGCAAGGCGCATGGCCCGCATTACAAAGCGTTCGCATTGACTAAGCCACAGAGCCGACGCCCAGTGTATTGTGACATTTATATATCCGTCCCTCATGTGGGTTGCTTTTTTTTTTTGTTAGCCCCACCTTGGCTTTTTCCGGAGGCCCTGAATAAATGTGGCCTAACGGCTGAACATGGTTTCCAGGGCCTCTCCGCGGGTGATCCTCATCCGCATAAAGGCACGTTGTGTCACCAGGTGTTTATCGCATGTGTGATGTCCTGGTGGGGTACAACTTACCTACCTACCTATTGCGACATTTGTCTCAGAAACAATATTAACTCAAACTTTATGAAAGTAGAAGACCCTTTTTGAACCTTTAGGCTAGATCTATATTTTACAGACGGATTGGCAATCTGTGGTGTTGTGGTCTACATCACGCTGGCTGCCTTTACTTCACATGACCTTTACCTGATACCAAGGTCGATTTTTGGAAAAATAGTCTGGCTCCGTTAGGACCGGAACCCACGGCCTTCAAATCCGCAGGCGCGCATGAAGCTGCTACACCACGGCAACTTCTGTTACTCAGCTATTAGTAGTAGCAGCAACAGCAGCAGCAATAGTAGTAACTTGTTTTTTTCTGTCCAACCATGTGTGTGCGTGTGTATGTGTGTGTGTGTGTGTGTATATATATATATATATATAATATATATATATATATATATATATATATATATATATATATATATATATATATATATATATATATATATATACAAATGTTTTTATCGTAACAATCAGCTATAACACGGATTTATCTGTTTTCTCCAGGACGTCCATTTCTCAAAAGTATTTGAACTGTGTGGCGGACAAATCAGAATTCCTACCGCAGCAGAATTTACAGATTCCAAAAATACATACATAGCCAGGTGTACTGTCGTAGATGGTCAGGTTGGTGAAGTTTCTATCTATCTATCTATTTATCTATCTATCTATCTATCTATCTATCTATCTATCTATCTATCTATCTATCTATCTATCTATCTATCTATCTATCTATCTATCTATCTATCTATCTATCTATCTATCTATCTATCTATTCTATCTATCTATCTATCTATCTATCTATCTATCTATCTATCTATCTATCTATCTATCTATCTATCTATCTATCTATCTATCTATCTATCTATCTATCTATCTATCTATCTATCTATCTATCTATCTATCTATCTATCTATCTATCTATCTATCTATCTATCTATCTATCTATCTATCTATCTATCTATCTATCTATCTATCTATCTATCTATCTATCTATCTATCTATCTATCTATCTATCTATCTATCTATCTATCTATCTATCTATCTATCTATCTATCTATCTATCTATCTATCTATCTATCTATCTATCTATCTATCTATCTATCTATCTATCTATCTATCTATCTATCTATCTATCTATCTATCTAATCTATCTATCTATCTATCTATCTATCTATCTATCTATCTATCTATCTATCTATCTATCTATCTATCTATCTATCTATCTATCTATCTATCTATCTATCTATCTATCTATCTATCTATCTATCTATCTATCTATCTATCTGTCTATCTATATATCTGTCTATCTGTCTGTCTGTCTGTCTGTCTGTCTGTCTGTCTGTCTGTCTGTCTGTCTGTCTGTCTGTCTGTCTGTCTGTCTGTCTGTCTGTCTGTCTGTCTGTCTGTCTGTCTGCCTGCCTGCCTGCCTGCCTGCCTGCCTGCCTGCCTGCCTGCCTGTCTGTCTGTCTGTCTGTCTGTCTGTCTGTCTGTCTGTCTGTCTGTCTGTCTGTCTGTCTGTCTGTCTGTCTGTCTGTCTGTCTGTCTGTCTGTCTGTCTGTCTGTCTGTCTGTCTGTCTGTCTGTCTGTCTGTCTGTCTTCTTCTTTTTAGCATTCTGAGCCGTTTGGGGTCATTGCTGCAGATATCACCCGCCTCCATTCATCTTTGTGACTAGTTTTCTCTCTCTGATGACACCAAGTGTTTGTAGGTCTGCATGTATATTATCTCCTAACTGTGCCCGGCTCTCTAGCGTAGTTGGCTAAACCGGATTGCGCGGAGATCGGGTGACGAACTCCTTGTGGTCCGGGTTCGATCCTGGGGATAGCAATATGCTAGCAAATCAAAGAGCATTTTTAAGAAATCTTAAATAAAACGTTGATTTCATCCATGTCAGTGGCGAGGGGTGCATATAAAAGGCTGTCATCGCCGATTAGACTTACCTTTCTATTACAAATACGCTCCCCTTAACACCCCCCCCCCGCCCCCTTCTTACCCCACTGGTTTACGTCTCGAATATAGCGACTATAACGCTCGCTGCATGCTACACATGCAGATATTGCAACGTGTAAAAGCTACCAGTTACTAGTAGTACGATGCCAGCTGCTCGCTCATACTCTCAACTACGAAGTGACGAAGAGAAAAATATCACATGATACCATCTCCAGTGTAGTCGTACCTGCTAACGCTTGCATGCAATTTTATCAGGCCTCGCCACTAAAACTTAATATACATATAGCTATGGTTTAGTTTCGTTTTGTTTTGTTGTATTTTTATTAGATATATTTTTAAATGATGTATTCTGTCTTTGTTTTTCAGCCCTTAAATATTGAGGATTTGTCAAAAGACAGTAGATTTGGCTCCGGGCCAGTAAGTATTCTTTCCATTATTAATTTTCTTCTCCCTGACTCGAACAAGAAAGAGAATAAATGTTCGTGATTAGGAACATAAACGCGAACTATTTATGGTGTTCCGTTGTTTAGTTACAACATTATGTTTGTAATGATGTAGAGACAAGCAGGAAAACGTTTTAGTGATGGTTAACATTAAAAGCAGGCTATTGTTCCATTTTTTAAAAAAAAGTTTCCAGACATGAGAATTTACAAAGAAAATGTTTACTTTTGTTTCCACTCTACAAGTTTGGTATTTTAATTCAGAATAATGCGTGGCATGAAGAGTCAAGTAAAGAGTTTAACCAGTGTTAATCTCCAGTGTTGAGGCTCAATTTCCTTGTTTCTCCAGTCATTTTATTCTTTTCAGCGTCGGTTCTGAAGAGTTAAATCTGGGGCATGTCTTGGTGTGTACTACGTAACTGTGGTATTTACGGCTTCGGATATTTCATCTATCCATTGCTTGCTTGGGCGAACTCTAGGTCTGCTTCTTTTGCTCCTAAGTGACAGGGCTGTTTGTGATGCGCTATCTTGCGGTAGTCTTGATATATGTCCGAACCATTTCATCTGCTGTCTCTTAATGTTTTTGTTCCATTACCTGCCAGTGGTCATTTTTCATTAGAATCGATCCGATTACTCCAATGATTGTTTCTTTGAGCAAGATTGTATCCACCACCAGAGCGGACAAACTACATTAATGCTGCAGACTTCAATCCTGGAGCGGGCACACTAACATTTATACTGCAGAATTCAGTCCTGGAGCGGACAAACTAACATTAATTTTGGAGACTTGAATCCTAGAGCAGGCAAACTACCACCTATCCCACAAGGCAAGCCAGATCCCCATTAGCTCGAGACACGGCGTCCTCATTTTTCCGATATACACCGCTTGGAGATAGGATTGAGTTGGGTGTCCTAGAAGTCGTTGATAGGCTACTAATTTGGGCTTTTCATTCCGCCGAGAAAGAGCTAGCCCCCCCCCACCCCCCCCCCCCCCCCCCCCCCCCCCCGATACGTATTAGGTTTCTGTTATAAAACGATCCATTGAGTACAACGTCTTCTTCTTCTTTTTCCTCTTCTTCTTCTTTTTCTTCTTCTTTTTCTTCTTCTTCTTCTTCTTCTTCTTCTTCTTCTTCTTCTTCTTCTTTTTCTTCTTCTTCTTTTTCTTCTTTTTCTTCTTCTTTTTCTTCTTCTTCTTCTTCTTCTTCTTCTTCTTCTTCTTCTTCTTCTTCTTCTTCTTCTTCTTTTTCTTCTTCTTCTTCTTCTTCTTCTTCTTCTTCTTCTTCTTCTTCTTCTTCTTTTTCTTCTTCTTCTTCTTCTTCTTCTTCTTCTTCTTCTTCTTCTTCTTCTTCTTCTTCTTCTTCTTCTTCTTCTTCTTCTTCTTCTTCTTCTTCTTCTGCTTCGCATTCATCGGCTGTTAACTCGAGCAGAAAGATCTAGCTGTTCGTCCATTTCTTGACGTGAGGCTTGTCACAAAACTTGAAATGTTTGCGCATATCCCTTCGGCAGTTCTGGCTTATTTGTATGCAGACTGTTGGTTCCTCGATTCTCAGGCAGACGCACTCCGACTTCAAAGGAAACTCCCATTTAAACGATGTGCTTGTTTGTGTGGTGGTGGAGATGGTGGAGTAATGGGTCTATTCATTTCCCCGAACCCCCGAAACCCACCTGGGGAATTGTGTTTTTAATACATAGAAATAATAAATCGTATATTATGTGATCGTTGCATCTCTTATAAACTGTTTTATGAAATGTTGGACATTGAAAGCAACAAACCATTGTTGGAGTTTTATTTTATATAGACCTGATTTTGGAATTAACTTTGAATTCTGGACAATTTGTTTAAAAAAAACATGAAAACCTCTTTTTAAAGTCTATGCCGTCTGGCGTCAATAAACATTTCCATCAACGACCCTTTATCTCGTGTACTTTCAATTAATTCTAACACAGATGATCTTCTTTGCCATGAGGTCAAAATGTCCCGCATCTTCTCTCTCAGTCTCCCTCTGCTTATTTTCCTCTCCATCTTTTCCACCCGCGCGATATACTGCAGTTTCCTTCTCTTTATGACGAGACCAAAGAATGTCTCTTTCTGATGTGGTAAATCAGTTTCTCTTCGTATGTTTGTTATTTTCTTTCAAGACACATTCATTATAATTGGGGTTTTTTTTTTTTTTTTTGGTCTAGGGTGTTTTCTTCATTTGTCTTTAAAACCACATCTTCTCCGCTTCCACATATTTCTCACTGATCGACCAACTGTGAATACTTCACTTCAGGAGATCCCTTTCTCGCATCAAAAACGTTGTTTAATTGTGCAAAATTTATAATTATTATCATTATCATTTATATTGTTATTTTATGCTGAATGGCAAACAAGAAATATTTTTGAAATAAAATGTATAAATGCTTAAAGAGGGAAAATCCGTTTATGGTGGTGGGGATGGGGAACTGAGTCATCAGGTTGCAACGCTTGTGTGCTGCAGTATACGCAGAACACACATCGCAACCTTGTGAAACAAAATTATTTATTTTATAGGCAACCTCTACAGATGATCAAAATTTTACAACGAAAAGCGTTCTCTGTATGCCCATTCACAACAGCGACCACACAATTATCGGAGTCACACAGCTCATCAACAAAGTCAACGGGCAACCTTTTGATGACAGTGACGAGCATCTTCTAGAGGTACACAGTGCAGTGTTCAATGTTGTAGATTGCTATATTAAGAAGCGGCATCGCAGAACTCGGGACCTTACCATAAGCGCTCCGTCCCCATCTTCAGTAACAGGCGCAATGTATAAATTCCGATGGCACCTGAGGCAGTCTTACTATACATCCGTCTCGCCTTTCCGTTGAGTGTTGAGCGTTGCCCAGAACCCATAGTCACTCCTCTCAGATCTATTCTCCTCAGACTCTGATGTTCTAATGGTGAAAGGTGCATGTGCACTCCAGAACTTTTAAATGCTAAATATGCATCAAAAGGTACAGGTAAAGGACCCTTTTCCACGCCTTTCGCCGAATAGGGCATATAGGGCTAGACCTATATTTTATAGACCAATCGGCACAAGATGGGTAATGTGGTCAGCATCCTGCCGGCCGCCTTTACTTCCCGGGAGTGCACCCGGTACCCACTCAAGGCTGGGTCGACCTGGAAGCCAGGGTCATTTTTGAAAGAAAAAAATCTTCTCTGCCAGGGAGCGAACCCACGACTTCCCATCCGTCGCGAGCGTTTAGCTGCTCCGCCAGGGCGACTCCCTAAATATGCAATGTTTACAATTATTTTTGTTTCTGCGTCTGTGACTTTGGCTTCGTAATTCCGAAGTACCCGGTTCGAATCTAGCTGCCAGCGAGTTGGGCAGACAACTGTGTGTTGATTTGGACAGGAATATCGGGAACATACCGTTCGGTAGGCATTGGAAAGCTACTGGACAGTAAAACTGCCTAGTATAAGCAAAACAGTCAGCAATGCTGTGGTTGGTTCTGCAACGTTCTGTCAAGGATATACAACTAATGTTGTTGCTGTTGTTATTGTTGTTGTTATTTTTGTTGTTAAAAAAGAAAAGGTCAAAGTAAAAGACCCACACCTCTCAACACTCGATGGTTTATGTAGGCATCTTCACGTCAGGCCTCTTCATTTTCTTGTAACCCATTGTAGGCTGGGTCGACCAGTGAGCGAATGTTATTTTTTTTTTTTTATAGAGATTTGTGTTTGTGCTGGTTCGAACTAAATACATTTGGACTAATAGAAAAGATTCTAGACACTTCGCCGAGGCTTCCTGTATTTTAAATAAAGGTATAAAACTGTTCAAATTTTTATTCACAACCGATTTTGATGTTGCGAAGACTTTTGAATAAATAATTTTGGACAAACAGATTAGACAGATTTAGGAAACTAGATTAAAGATAATAGAAATATTAGCAGTCATTCTCTAGCAGTTATAAGAATAAAATCGGCGCTAACATCCTATAGCATCTGATAATCAAGGAAGATTGGCTGGTAAACAACATCTTGTGTCTGAAACTGAAATGTTTTGGGCATATCAAGCGCTACGGAAGATTTGAAGGATTAGTAGCAGACATCATGTTGACGGGAATAAAGTACAGGCGCTAACCAGCACGAAGATATGCATAGAATCAAAGTGGCGCCTTGGGTAGGAAAGTTTACGAGGCGGGAGATCTGGCCATATACCAAGTTTGTTTATTTTTTCTCCAAGCAGGTTGTGATTAGAGGGATGTTCTGCAAAAGACCCGCTATACGATGAATACCACGTTATAAACAATATGAGTATTTTTAAATGACAGTCATCAAAGTTGTTTAGTCGGAAATTTGTTTTAAAGTATGAACTAATGGTGAGAAGCGACTTTGTCGAGTGGGTAAGACACTTGGTTTTGAGTTAGGAGATCAGGTTTCGGTTCTAGGTTAAGGATGGAGATTTCTTTTTTCTGTCAGGGAGAGAGAGAGAGAGAGAGAGAGAGAGAGAGAGAGAGAGAGAGAGAGAGAGAGAGAGAGAGAGAGAGAGAGAGAGAGAGAGTGAGTGGAGGGAGGGAGGGGGACACATACACACACACACACACACACACATTATAACCTGTACAACTTGTGATGACTGCCCAAGTAACGGGACTTCAACCCATAGACTCATGACTCGCCATTTTGCCGAAACTAATTCACTGCTCATTAATTTTAAATTGCATACAGAGAAAGTGGTTCAGATTCACTTTCCAGACGAGACGGATTTGTTGTTTCTTGTGGGGGGCCCGGCTTTATAAAGAAAATTGGGTAAATTAACCATTTTCAGGTATTCATTTAAAAAAAAAAAAAAAAAAAAAAAAAACATGTGAGGAAGAGAACTGGCACCCAACATAATATTCCTAAAATTATGTGAATTCTAACATAATATAGGAGCCGCCATGGTGTAGCGGCTAGGCTTGCGCCTGCGGATCCAATGGTTGTAGGTTCGAATCTGCATGATTTTGGATTTTTTTTCAGACATGAACTTGGCTCCCAGGTCGACCCAGCCTGAATGGTACTAGGTAGAGTCATGGGAAGTTACGGCGGTCGGCTTGATTTCTGCCACATCATCCATTAAAGGACGTTTGGTCTTTAAAAATATGAGTCTTGCCTCACATGCCTGATACGCCACCGGCGTGTAAAGGTATCTTTTACTGACACCCCCCCCCCCCCACCCCAGTGACAGTAGATGCTGCTTCAATACCTTTAGCTTCATCGAAATGAATGTTTGTCAGCGACACCCTTTTTATTTTTATTTCATTGCATTCTGTAAATCTAACATATACTTTACACTTTTCCAGTTTTGTACTATTCATTTTATGATAGTTGTGCTTATGATAATGATGATGCAGATAAATATATTTATGATAATGATGGTGAAGAAAATGATGATGTTGATGATGATGCGAAAATTGTTTTGGGTTTTTTTTCCCAGGCATTTTCAATATTCACTGGTTTAGGCATCCACAATTGTCAGATGTACGAGAATGCATGTCAGTTAATGGCCAAACAAAGCGTTGCGTTAGAGGTGCTGTCATATCATGCCACAGCTAGCAAGGAAGAAGTAGAAAGAGTCATGGTAAGACAATAGTTAACAAGAAAAAAAAAATACTCATAGCAATTTTTTTTCGTCAAACAGGTCACTCATTGTCAACTTAAGGGACGTTCTTTCTCGTCCTCCTAACCCTAAAATAACGAAAAATTGCGTCCCATATTGGGGAGGAAACTTGACTAACTGGAGGCGACTATTGGGGTTGGCACCTCTAGCGGTTGCATTTTGCATTTACAGTGTGTATATGTTTTCTGGATTGTGTCGAGACTAATCGAAAGGGTTGTTTGTTTTAGTATCCAGAAGCCTTGAGTTGTTAACCCTTAGGCTCGGTATTATGGATATCGCAACCTTTCGGCCTTGATTCCATTGTAAATACCGTAAATCTGGGAGAAAATGTGGCTTTCCTGCCTACCCCCGGGATTGAACCCGGACCACAAGGAGTACGTCACCCGGTCTCCGCGAAATCCGGTTTAGCCAATTCCGCTAGAGAGCCGGGCAATCGAAAGGGTTAGACACTATATTATACTGACCAGTCGGAAGTCAGTGGGTGATGTAGTCAGCCGGCCGCCTTTAGTTCCTAGACTTTATCTGGTACCTATTTAAGGCTAGGTCGACGTGAGAGCCAAGGTCCTTTTTTGACCACACACAAAAGAAGAAAAAAAAATATTCTTCCTTCGGAATTGAAAGCACAACCATCGTATCCGCAGGCGATCGTCTAGCCTCTACAACATAACGGCTCTCTCAGTGAGTCCAGATAACATTTGCAAAAGCAGCAGCCAAACTAGGATACTCATTTTGACTTTCACCTGTCCCAACATTTTAATCAGCTCTTTCTATCCAAAAAATGTAAAAAGTAAAGATCTCTTTTCACGCTTTTAGGCGCATCGGGCATATGGGAAGAGCATCCACGTCTTTACAGACTAATCGGCACTAGGTGGGTAATGTGGTCAGCATTACGCAGACCGTTTTTACTTTCCCCATGACCTACATCATGGCACCCATTTTAGGTTGGCTCGACCTGCGACGCTCTATATCAAGAGAAACATCCATGCATCCAGCAGTGGGTTTCGATCGCGGTACGTTGGAATTACCATTCGGACTCGCAACGCCTAAGCCACGGACGCCGCCTATTCTACCCTAAAGACTTCATATTTTTCATCATTACCTGACAATCTTTGCAACCCATCCATTCAACTGGGATCAGAACTTAAAGCTCATATTTTTCTCTTAAAACCAGAATCTGTTTATTTACCATTGTTTAGGACACAATTGTCACATGTAGATAAGATATCTAAGTGGAGTAAGAACTGCCAAGACTGCCAACTACTGACTTTATTACACCACTTTTGCAGTGTAGGCAGGGGGGCCTTTAAGCCTGCGGATTTACGGCCGTATAGTTAGTGCTGTCGCCACGACTGTGCAGGTAAGAATTTTTTTTTTTTTTTTTTTGAGTCCCCATAAACGATGTTTAAAAAAAGCTCAGGAAAGAATTGAAAAAAAAACATTACGCTCAGTAGTTTGCCATTGCTTTCGTCAGTGTAAACACCCTAAGTAACCTGCTTTACATAAGATAGGATCACTTATGTCTAACCTGCCATGATGATCATCTTCAAATGAACGAGGAACCTTCGTTATTGCCATAAATACTCACGTTCTTCTTCTCTAATTTGTGGGTGTTATCTTTGTTGTTATAATTACGTTTTGGGTTATTCTCATATAAAACAAAACATTATCTTCTTCCACAGGGTGGGATGGAAATAACGGAGGAAACAAAGGTATGTTCACAGCAAATTTTTTTTTTTTTTTTTAATTAAACATAAATTTATTTTAAGTGATTCCTGACTATACAGATGAGCACTAGTATAGTAATAAATACACTAGCAGAATATGATAATATTTTCGACTTGTATTGCCCCTTTTCTCCAGCCAGTTTAGCTTAAGGGAGGTATAGTTGCTACTGAATGCGCACCCTAGAAGGCTATGTCGATGGATTTAAAGATACAACGAAGATGGGAACATGGAACGAGGGAAAACTGTTACCACTGAATCATATACTGATCTTTTCAGGAATCATATTCGGCTCGCAGTCAAATACAAACAACGTGGACTTCATCGAACCGAAAAGTTTTCCCTCCCAATGACTCTTTAAATCGTCCAAAACTAAGTTAGGTGAGTATGGTGAATATGGTAAAAAGTGAAAATGGAGGTCTTCGGTGGTTTCAACCGTTGCGTGGGCAGTGTGGAATCGAGCATTGTCATGCTGCAGAATGGTACTACTGGAAAGTCTACGTAGTTTGGTGCATGTAAAAAGTGAGGTGGCTATTGTTAAACTGTCATTATGACGCACCGTCTTCGTCTGCGCCGTTATTTCATGTGCTTAACACTTTTGACTTTATTCACAAAAATATTGACAGGCTACAGAACAGTGGCATGTTTATTGTAATTTCCAGCAATATTTTAAGGTTTTTAGATGTATACACACACACACACACACATGTGCATGTGTATATTTATTTACACACACACACACACACACACACACACACACACATTGATTGTATTTTAGAATCTGTAGCTTTTCTTTCAAACACTCCACAAACTAATTCACTTCATTTTGTGTAGGTTCGCTTTTTTTCATACACATTTCATTCATTGGTAATACTTTAATTTCCTGGACAGGTGGACCAAATTATTCCCACAGTCACTGAATACCAGCTGGACACATACGAATTTGATGATATGACCATGTCCGACGATGAGACCATAAGAGCAACCATCCGAATGTTTATAGATGCAAATCTGATCAACACGTTTAAGATTCCGTGTGAGGTACGGAGCTAAGTTAATTGAGTGGTTAACGTATTGATTTACAAATAGTACTGATAAGCAGGGGTGAAGAAACCTGTGAGCTCAGGTATCTTGAGCGAACCCCCTCCCTCCCTGTTAAGGGGGCCTTAGCCCCGCCCCGTCAATAATTGAATAGGTAGTCCGAGTCCCTCTGCTTCCCACTACTCTCCCATTTCCCATGTTTAGGAGGCATTTTGCGAGATGCCTTGATGGCACGCGACAGGACTTTACTTTTACAGCACAACACAAACTCCAATCACAGCTAACTTCAGAGTGGGTATATGCGCCTGTAAGACTGTTGAACATCATTTCTTTAAGTTCCCCCGTGGGTTCTGGGGCGCCATTTTGGGGAGCAAAGAATAAACCTACTACAGCGCTAACAAGCATGTCGTAGCAGGCGACTAATTAGGCGTGTTTCCTTCAAAGTTTAGTTGTATCTGCTGGCAGGCAATGAATCAACAGTCTGCATACAATTAAGCCTGATATATAAAACGGATGTGCACGCAAAACTCAAGTTTTTAATGAAGACCAAAGTCAAGGAATAAATGAGCAACTAGAAATTTCCGCTGGCATTAATAGCCAGTGAACGCTAGGAAGAAAAACAAAAAAGAGGCGGAGGAGGAAAGACGAAGAAGAAGAGGGAGGACGCAAGGGTAGATGCGACGGGAGGGGGGGGGGAGGAGGAGGAGAAGGAGACTTCTCTAAGTGTCCACACACACACGCACGCACACAAACACACACACACGAATAAGTCAAAAAGTAAGTCAGAAATTGTTGTATAACAACTGAAAACCCGCTTATTTCTAAAAAATACACTGTCTCTTTTTTTTCCCAACATAATTTCCACAAACATTGATGCACTTGTCCCATTATTTTACCAGTCCTCCCAAACCTGCTGCATAGAACTGCGTGCTCTGTTTTCTAAATCATATTTTTATTTCACATTCAACTTCTGAGTCATTTGCGAAATGTTTCCCGCCAAGGTAGGCTTTCATTGGACAAAATGATAAAAATCGCTGTGGCTAAATCGGGGCTGTAATGTTGGTGTTCCAAAAGTTTCTACCCTAGATGGTTAATTTTTCTCCTGAGTTAACCGAACCGCATATGTCTGGCATTGTCATGAAGGAGCAGTACTCCTATAGTCAGCAAGTTTGGACGTTTTCTTCGAATTGCATCATAAATCATCAATAGAACTTTACCGTATGAATCACCATTCACATTGTAACAATTTTTTTTTTGGGGGGGGGGGGGGGGGGGGGGGGGGGGGATTGGTTAAAAGCACGCCTTGAAAATCCCAGAAAACTGTTAGCATAACCTTCCCTGCTGATGGCATAACCTTGAATTTGTTAACACACAAGGAAGAAGGATGTGCTCATTGCACACTTTGATTTGGGCTGGTAGTGATGCACCCATGATTCGTCCTCAGTAATAATCCTGTTCAGCGTGTCTTCTTCTTAATCTGCGTATCGACAGAGATGCTGCAAGGGCAGGCCTTATCTGTTCATTTTGTGTTCGTCCGTCAATAGTATGGGTACCCACCTTGAGCACACTTTCTTAAATTTCAGTCGATCGCGCAATATGTTGTATGCTAAACCATTTGAGCACCCTATTGCAGCTACTACAATGGCAACCCTTACTCGCCTGTACACTCTAATCATCTCCACCCGCTGCACGGATGCGTCATTTGCAATCTTAACAGGACGACCTAATCGGGCTTCATCAACAATTTTAGAGCCTCCTTGAAGAAAATGTTTTACCCAGCTGTGCGCCGCTCTACGCGATAAAAAATTTTCAGCATAAACGGAAGCATTTCCTTACGAATGTCCTTTACAGACAGCCTTTTTGCCCCTTTCCCTCCCCTCACCAATATACACAACGCACGTTGTTCTTTGAGGGTACACTCCGTAAGTACAGTCGCCATTTTGTTTCGTGTTGCGAATGCGCTTGCAACACCTAGCGCCACCTAACGAGCGAAGACATAAAGTTAAATGTTGCTGTCACCTAATGACACCTTTAGACACCACCAACTGCATTTTCCTACCATCTCATAACCTTTCGTGACTTACTTATTGACTTTTCCTCGTATTTCTAAAGAAATTACGAAAGATCGCACACAAATTTTGAAATTACTAAAATGTTAATTTCCGCAAGTCCATATATAAAGAACCCTTTATATAGTCACAACAAAAGCTAGTAAGCCTTTGCAGATGGCACACAATGGCACTGCATGGCACTCCATGGCTCTGCGTAGCAATAACCTAGACCCATTTGGATCGATATTGCTAACATAACAAAAACAAAGCAAATATCAATTTTTATTCCTATTGTATGAAGCAAGTGAGTTTTTTTTTTAATCAATAGAAATTGCTCGCTTCATCAACATTTCATATTTCCTGTGTTAGTTTTATGCTTCTGTAGTACTTATGGTCCAATGGCTAGTGAGCATTGATATTAATATTGTCGTCCAAGGTCAATCCATAGCAGTGTAAAGGTGTGTTTGTGGATGTGTGTGTGTTGGGAGAGGGGAAGGTTGAATAGCTACATAGCACAGTAACTATCGTGTTTAAAAGACGGCACATTGAAGGTTAGGTTAAAGTCGAGTGGATCGACATCATTACACAGAGTTTTATTACATACGGCTCGGTCTTTCTCCACAGAACGTCTAGCCGCTTGCCGAGAGCACCGTGCAGAGCACAAACTCCGTAACTCCACCGACGACCCCCAGGGGATCTCTGTAAAACTGCACTGATGAGATGTTCTCTGACTCCATAACGAGAAATTATTCTTCATAATACTTCTCTGTCGACTCTGTCGAATCCCTTCTTCTGGTCTACGAATGCCATAAACAAGTTCTTTCCATATCCGGTGTTCTTTTCTATTAATTGTTTTACGCATGGAGACTGCATTTGTGCAGCTTCTATTTCTCCTAAATGTCTTCTGATCTTCTGCCAACTGTGGATCTGTTACTGGTCTCGTGTCTGTTATCCTGGCATACATTTTCCCAACATGACTTAAAAGAGAGATGCCTTGGTATTGACTGCATTCTCGCTGGCTTCGTTTGTTCTTCCACAATGGTATAACTGTTGTATGTTGCCAGTAAATGGGAGCATTTTGCTGTACCCATGCTGCATTAAATATTTTGAAGTAGATAGAGATATAAAAAGAACAATATTAAAGGGCGGATAAGCACCTCCGTACATCTATTGTTTTTCTGAGTACCAAACAGGCGTTGATATGGGAAATAGAGGGATTGAGAAAATGATGACGTTTAAGAGGAAGACTAAAACGAACGTTGATGAGAGAAGTCACTAGTACTGGACTGGATTCCATCCATGATTTTGACAGGATTGAAGGAATAGACGGCGAGCCATATGTGACATATAATGATACAAGACAATGATGATGATGATGATGATGATGATGATGAGGATGATGATGAAATACCTGAATGAGACGAATATTTTGAATTCTCTAGCTCAGAAACGTCAAAAATGATGGAACACTTGACAATTTGATCCACCCATAATTAACGGGTCTCCAGTTCAAGAAATCAGAAATGTAGATTATACAGTCTTGGGAGCTAGGTCTGAATGAATGCTAATTGAAGTCAGTGCAAGATATAACAACAACAAGATTTTTAATGTAGAATTAAATGTGAATCCAACAAAGAGGGACATGAGAGGAGAAGTAAGACATGTTTATAACATGATCGCTACTGGAACCATGTATTCAGCTTATATTTTCCCTGAAATATTTGAATAGGAGTAGACTACGAGACAGACCATGAAGGAAGAGGAGAAATAATATAAGGTGGACTTAACAAACACTTGAAATCACCAACTGGAAAGAGAATGCCAGTCACATAGTTGAATGAAGGAAGGTATGCATTTGCAGCAATGAACTTGAAGGCTTGGAATGCTAAAGAAGTAGAAAGCGATATTCGCCTTGCAAGACTAGAGGGAGGCTCTGTGTGCTTTGATACTGATTCTTGAAGATCCGAAATTATAATTCTAACAGCTTGAACAAATTTAATTTATTATATTTATTTTTTCAGACTATATGTCGTTGGGTGTGTACTGTCAAAAAGAACTATCGACCTGTCACCTATCATAACTGGAGACACGCATTTAATGTTTGTCAGACTATGTTTACCATGCTGTATGTAAGTGTGTCTTTACTATCTTTTTACATTGATCATTCAGTGCCTCACTTTGTGCAGAACGGTTATAATTAAATTCCCCCCCCCCCCAACCAAATATGACAGTCATCAGCATTTTTATTAAAATTTTAAAGTACAGTTTAGTTTACTCAGCTGTTGACCGAGTCGGTAAAGGACTCTTTCCATGTCTATAGGCGTATTGAGCATATAGGGCTAGACCTATATCTTAATAATCAACTCAGTGGGTGATTTGGTCAACGTCGCGTCAGCTATTTTTACCTCCCGGGATTGTACCAGGTACCCATTTAAGGTTGGGTCGACGTGGGAGTGAACGTCATTTTTAAAAACAAGTCCTGGCTTCTTCAGGGCCTGAACCCACGACCTTCCCAATACGCAAGCGAGAATCTAGCCAACACGCCACGTCAGCCCCGATTGAAAAAAAAAATGGATATTTAAAATTATGTTGTTTTTTAAACAAACTTTGGTGGGTATTTTGAAGTTTGCAGTTACAATTTAGCTAACTAATGTAAACAAGTCGACTGTATTTGAAATGGTTAGGTATACTTCAGATTCGTACTCGTGGGGAGAAAACTGTATCACAGTTTTGAAATGAACCCAAACCAGTTTTGGCAAGGAAGCGCACTAACAACTTTGCCTCTCGATCCAGCTTTACATAACTTAGGTTTTTACATTCCCAAGGGCAATAGATGAGCGCAGTAATCAAAACCCTTTCACTCTTCCCTCTTGTTCACCTATTTCTCTAGACGGATGTTTTATTATGTTGTAGACATTTAGACTGAATTACTGGGTAAATGTTAATAACTTATCTGAAGGGATGATCTTTCTTATGTGTTTGCAAAATAGTTGAGTGGCATATTAATACAAGCAGGAACACTCAAACGGAACAAGACAGACATTCTGGAGACCACTTTTGAACTAATGTTGATGGAAGACACGATTTTACATGAAACAGCGTGTGAGGTTGTGTGAATTAGGAGTGAAATATGGGTCCAGCAAGAACGTATAATAAGATAAAGAATACGGCATGTGTAGAACAAGTGCGCTGTTGGAACAAGCAGCATTTATGCCTCAAGACACCTACTGCGGATCACAAAGCCTGTATGGGTTTGCCCTGTGTGTCATTGTACTGATTCATAAATCACTGTGAAGCAGCTGGTAAAGTCTTTCTGGAGGAGCTAAAAAGTGCAACAGAACTGACATGGTATATTTAACAGGAGAAAATCATTCCGCTGGGAGTGAGCACAGACATAACATGTAACAGGAGAAAATCATTCCGCTGGGAGTGAGCACAGACATAACATGTAACAGGAGAAAATCATTCCGCTGGGAGTGAGCACAGACATAACATGTAACAGGAGAAAAATCATTCCGCTGGGAGTGAGCACAGACATAACATGTAACAGGAGAAAATCATTCCGCTGGGAGTGAGCACAGACATAACATGTAACAGGAGAAAATCATTCCGCTGGGAGTGAGCACAGACATAACATGTAATAGGAGAAAAATCATTTCCGCTGGGAGTGAGCACAGACATAACATGTAATAGGAGAAAATCATTCCGCTGGAAGTGAGCACAGACATAACATGTAACAGGAGAAAATCATTCCGCTGGGAGTGAGCACAGACATAACATGTAACAGGAGAAAATCATTCCGCTGGGAGTGAGCACAGACATAACATGTAATAGGAGAAAATCATTCCGCTGGGAGTGAGCACAGACATAACATATGTAACAGGAGAAAATCATTCCGCTGGGAGTGAGCACAGACATAACATGTAACAGGAGAAAATCATTCCGCTGGGAGTGAGCACAGACATAACATGTAACAGGAGAAAATCATTCCGCTGGGAGTGAGCACAGACATAACATGTAATAGGAGAAAATCATTCCGCTGGGAGTGAGCACAGACATAACATGTAATAGGAGAAAATCATTCCGCTGGGAATGAGCACAGACATAACATGTAACAGGAGAAAATCATTCCGCTGGGAGTGAGCACAGACATAACATGTAATAGGAGAAAATCATTCCGCTGGGAGTGAGCACAGACATAACATATGTAACAGGAGAAAATCATTCCGCTGGGAGTGAGCACAGACATAACATGTAACAGGAGAAAATAATTCCGCTGAAAGTGAGCACAGACATAACATGTAACAGGAGAAAATCATTCCGTTGGGAGTGAGCAGAGGGTCTGGACGATATTCTACCCACGGATGGGGACGGTGGGACTTTTAATCAGGCAGCAATTGTTACTATCAGTATAGGGACTCTGCTGTTGGCTGCTAACGCAGGGAACAGAGCAAATGGTCTTAAGTTGAGCTGAGTCGGTGGCGCGGTGATTTCGGTCACAGGCATGAGGGAAAGTTAAGTATGATGTGATGTGTATAAGGAGATATTCCGTACCCCACTCGGGCGCCAGTCGTTCACTGTTCTGGTTCTACGGAACCCCATGCACGACTCCTGCTGCACGTCTCCGTCGTGCGCCACGGATAATGTCTCAAATGAGCATTAACAGAGTTGGCAGGGGATCTCGAAGCGGGCGGCCCCTAGAGGTGTAGTGTCCTTTCTGGCTCTCACCAGCTGGCCCCCAAACGCATGGGTGAAAAGTCTAACAAAACTCATTCGGAACACGAGTAAGGATTGCTTGCCAAATGTACCATCAAATGACAACTCTCGGTTAAAATTCAGGAGCAAATGGAAAACTGTGCTGCTGCTGAGACTCAACCCTGACCGAGAGATTTACCCGCAGCCAAGACGAGTAACATCTCTTGTGGGCGATTTCTCGCAGCAAGATCCTACCTACGTACATCCTCTGTCAATCCTCAGTGTCGTCGTCACCGCGCTGAGGTACACCACGGCAGCAACTTTTCATCTGCTGGCTAGGAAATAATGTCTGACAAAGTTAAACCCCACGGCACACATGCAAGCTCAAAGTCCGACGATCATAATTCGTACCGATTAGGGAAAAGTCCAAATGTCCGTATCCACTGGTCCCACTCGCCCGAGTGTTGGGACCAAACAGGTGAAGCCACGCCTGACGCATTTTGCTTCCCCATTCTGTCGTGCTAAGGGCACAGCTGAAACAACGTTAAAGGTGTCTAACGTACGATGAAAAAGAATGTACCTATTTGTGTGGCCACAAAAGTCCTGGACCTGCGGCCTGCTCCCCGCTGATCTCCGGAGAGCGCAGCCTTGTAGCGCGGGAAGCTCAATACACGGTTGTGAGGTTAAGCAGTCATGGGCAGGACGTGACGATTCCTTGGGTGAGCCCAGAACCAGAGCATCATGTGTCGGCTCTGCATTTATGGAAGCCTCCTTGGATGGCGGGGAATGCCCATGATCTGCCCCTGCCTTCCCTTGAGGGCTGACAATTCTACCTAGGGCTGCCTTAAGGAGGATACTCCGGGGACCACACCTGTTAAAGGTCAAAGAGGACACCACACAAATGAGGCAACATCTCGACCCACACAAAACAATGGCCACAGTTAACCTAAAAATAGGCTTGACGTCTTCCCTCGAAGTCGGAGTTCATCTGCCGGAGGGGCGGGGAACGAGAACTGCAAACAAATAAGCCAGTAAAACGGATGTACACGCAAAACTCAGGTCAAGGTAAAAGCCAAAAGTCCATTTGGACGAACAACCGCGACTTACCGCCGGAATTCACTGCCGGTGAACAAGCAGAAGAAGAAGAAGAAGAGCTGAGTCGAGTCGTGTTAAGAATGGACATCACAACACTCGGGGCATTCTCTTACACGCTCCGTCCCCATCCTCAGCAGCCAGCGCAGAGTTCCAATACTAATGGTGCCAGTCATAGTCAGGTTGTATGTCCGTCTTGCCTTTCTGCTGACCGTAGTGTGCCGGCCGAACCCTCTGGTCACACCCAGGTGCATCATTCTCTCCAGCCCATAATAATCTAGTTTCGCTTCTGACTTCGTTACTTGTTCCCATGGGCTTTGACCACATCTTCTTTATCATGCATCAATTCACCACCCAGCGGTGCAAATCCAGCTAGTCTGTCTGCCTGTTCATTCCATACCACGCCGGCATGACGTGAAGAAAAGATCCAAATTATACTCACTACCCGTGACCTTGCAAGTGAAGCTTGCCACTCTGGTCGAAGCAATCCTGTCTTCCCCCTTTCCAGTATGCTTTCATAGTCCATTACATGTGATGTGTCTTGTTAATTTGATTCCGCTCTCTTCCCGGCCTATATACGAGAATATCAGCTGTGAATGTGTCTTAAGTACAGTGATATTAGTTCTTGATTCATTCATTCTTTCTTAAATCAGTCACTAGTAATGGCAAAATTAAAATAACAAATTTATAGTAGACAATTGGAATAAAAGCCGCAAATTAAACGCAAGCTAATTAATGTGAAAGAGGTAGAAATATGAACACTAACGCATTTAATTTACTTTAAAATATATTTTATATTTCAAATTTACTTTCTAAGGTAGTATTATAAATACTTAATTACGACTGTTGTTTCCATCTCTTGTTATTTACAGTAGAAAAACTTGAAAATACATCTACATCCGTTTTTTCCACAGACTGGAGAACTCAGACCAAAGTTTGATGCTGTAGAGATATTTGCCTTGATGACTGCTTGTTTGTGTCATGATTTGGATCACAGAGGCACCAACAATGCCTTTCAAGTCAAGTATGATTTATTTGATTAATAATATAGTTAACTGGTATTATTTGGACATATAAAAAATGTATCTACAGTTAACACAATGTTTTCCCGTTGTGAATTTGAACAAAGAAGACACAAACAAAAGGTTGCACAATTTATTGCTTGATATATTTCGCTGTATCTCATCAGGTGCATTCAACAGTAACAATTATTAAAATAAAGCAAATAAATTAATCCTTCCAACTGAAACACAGGCGCTTCTTTGATCCATTCCCCAAAATGGCGGCATGCCACATTCTGGCCATAAAATATCCAAAAATATCCGAAAGACGGTGTTCCCGTATATCTAAAATACGGACTGTCTGCCAAGGGACAAATAATCGCGGCAAAACTAGGATTACTTGACAATCACTATTAACATTGCACACGGTGCTAGTAGCAGACGATAAATACCGACCGTTGACAACAATTTCGAGCGTTTCTGCGACTCCGATACTAGCAGACGATATTAGATATCGTTGACCAATTTCGAGACATTACATACGATGAAAACGATTAGCAATACTGTGTTCTTCTGATTGGAGGATTTAGCAGCGGTAGATGTCAGACTTGTCGGCATGCGCCAAACGCGATTAAACTTATCGCCGAGCGTATCTAGGTGCCTGGGACTCACGAGTACAGTAATTGGAGGAAGTTGCAGGAGATGCGGTAGCTGCCACTCGTGAGTCCCAGCCATCTAGTTTAGCCCCCATCCGCGCCGCGCGTAGCGGCGCGGGGGATACGCTCGGCGGTGAGACACACTCGCAGAAGCAGGTCGGCAAGCAACGTATCGCCCAGACCCTGTCAGAGCATTTGTTTCGTTATTCGGAGCCGGCACATATATTTTTAATAGAGTTGACTCCGCATTCGGATATTTTTGGATATTTTATGGCCAGAAATTGGCCAATTTAGCTTCTTTTTGAACGCCATCATATTAAAGCCGCCATTTTGGGGAACGATTCAAAGAAGCGCCTACAGATCTTAGATCTGCTTCTTCACTGCAGCCTTTCATTGGTTTGAAAACCAGCTGCACATACATGTTGTGATTGTAACTGATTCACAAAGCATGCTGAGAGAGGTAGATACAGATAAGTCCTGTGCAGAGTGGCATGCATTGCTTCAAACGTTAGCATCCTCTGCAAATTTTCTCCAGGGAGTGCAGGTGTGTTAGGAAACAAACGGGCAAACAGAGTGGCTGGTTCTGCACCTATTGGTGATAAACTGATGCAAGACTAACTACAAGTAGATATTGTCCTTTGGGGTGAGTGAACAGAGCGGAGGCACAATGAGACCACCATGGTCTGAAGAGAGTGGTGCAGCTGGAAGTGTCCAGGAGATCTGGTCTCACTCCACACTTAGAGAATGAACATAAATCAGACTACTACAGGCAATATCTGAGTTGGAGCTCTTTCCTGAATGTAGAGGATGGAGATGACGCACTTATGGAAATTTCCCAACTTCTGTGATGTCAGTTTTTGAAACAGCTCATTTCAACTCAACTATTTCTCCTCCTCCTCCTCCTCCTTCTTCTTCTTCTTCTTCCTCTTTTTCTTGTCTTTCTTCTTCTTCTCCTGCATTCCAAGCCTTTGAAGTTCATTGCTGCATATATAACCTCCATTTGCCTCTGTGAGCAGCATTCTGTTTCCAGTTGGTGACTTAAGGTGTTAGTAGTCTAACTGTATATTATTGCTCCACCATGTTCTTGGTCTGCATGTGGTCCCCTTCATCTCATTTGTGCACCCAGTACCCAGTACATATTTATTAAATGCACATAATAAATATGTTTAAAGTTGATATGTTTTTTTTTAACTCAAATTTTTCAGGGTCGCCTCCCCTTTGGCTATGTTGTACAGCACCTCTGTTTTGGAGCACCATCATTTTGATCATTGTATTATGATCATAAATAGTGAGGTGAGTGCAGAAACGCTCAGGATTGCCCCTATTTTTAGAAATGCATATATTACTTATTTATATTGTTACAGCTTCTTTATGAATACATATATTACTGGTGGTGGGTGACACCATTAAGGAAAGCAAAGCAGCAGCCAGCTGTATGTCAGAAAGATGTATTTACTTAATTTAGAGAGAAAAATGTACCTTTCTACTGTGCAACCATGTAATGATTGTCAACTTGTACGAGTGAACGAATACACTTTATTTTTTAAATAAAGACCTGTCTAATACTCTGACCCTTGGTCTACCTCGTTCGTACAGTATTTCGGTCTAAACACCATTTCATTAGTGTACATTCGATAAGTATAGATTTCATTAGTGTGCATTTCATAAGTGTATATTTCATAAGTTTAGATTTCATTAGTGTGCATTTCATTAGTGTACATTTCATAAGTATAGATTTCATTAGTGTGCATTTCATTAGTGTACATTTCATAAGTATAGATTTCATTAGTGTGCATTTCATTAGTGTACATTTCATAAGTATAGATTTCATTAGTGTGTGTTTCATTAGTGTACATTTCAAGATGAAAGCCATCCCAATATGGGATGCAATTTTTCGTTACTTCAAAGCACCACTTCAGCTGATGTTTGGGGTCCTAATATAACCAAACGGTTGAACGGGGTTTCTGGGACTTGCGCCTGGCTGATTCTCATCTGATTTGTGGCACTTTGTGTCGCCTGGTGTTTATCGCTCATTGTGCTGTCCTAGTTTGGTTGAACTTGATTCATTTCTAGAGGTATGGGATAAAGACAAAAAGGCCTATGTAATGCAAAAGCAATCATAGATGTGTTACTACTAATCTTGCACAAAATACTAAAGCAACATACAAAACATCAAGGGTCTTATGCCTAAAGATGAAGATAATTTATAATTCATGAACAGAGTATAACGACAGTTCAGTTTTTAACAGATCCTTAAATATGAAACTTTCTCTTGGCCAATTATATCTGCGGGGTACACAAGGGCATTAACTGGTGTGACCATTAATGATGTCATGGCTTACTTTTTTGTGAGGCCGAACAAGGCATCTGGCATATGCTATGTTTGCCTCCAAAATGTGATATATATATATATATATGGAACCTTATATATATATATATATATATATATATATATATATATATATATATATATATATATATATATATATCCTCAAGGTTCCATAGTAACAGTGCACCAACACTGAATTACAGGTTACCTTAAGCATTTTGTATGCCCTAATATAATTTGGCTTTATGGCTACACGGCTGAACAGGTTTTTTGGTTTTTGTACCTGTTTGATTCTCGTCCTTGAAATGTTAATCCTACAACTACAAGGGGGGCCGGGGTTCCATGGTGATTTATGTCTGCAAATAAAGAAGCACGCTCCATACCAATAATATTCTGAAGAAAAAACCTATTAATTACTGTGTTACTTCCAGCCCAGCGTGGTCTCCTTATAGAAAGTTCATGTTCAAATGACAGATTATACATACTGCCAAAGTATGCTGCCAAGCTGTGAGTAAAGACGTATTCTCACAGACCATACAAATGAGACTGTGCAATATGATTTTTCTTACAAAAGGACATTTTTCAAATGAGCATGGATACTTTTAGAAAGTCCATGTTCAACCTAGGAAACCCTGAATACTTTCAAAGTATGCCACCAAGTTGTGAGTAAAGAAATATCCTTCGTCAGGTAGCAGGTCTTTCACAAAACGTTGCTATTGTCACAGTCCACCTGAAAGAAACTTGATCACTTGCCTGGTCTTCCCTTTTGTGCCCATCTTCGTGCTGGTTGGCACCGACCCCTTTTATTAGTTGTATTCATATAGTTCAGAAAAAGCATTCAATATAATAAGGATACATTTGAAGATTTCAAAAATATATGGTACTAAACAATGAATAACCAACTATGTTAAGAAACAGAAGCTTTAATTTATTTATTTTAAATGAATTTTAAGTGAATTTATAATTCTGTTTTTAATTTCTATTAATAGGGAAACAATATATTCCAATCCTTCACTCCGGAAGAGTACAGAAGAGCAATCAAAATTCTTGAACACGCCATATTGTCAACAGATCTGGCCTTATACTTCAAGTATGTTGTGTACTGCAAATCTTATTTCTTTTTTTTTCCAGCCCTACGTGTCATGTTTAAATTTTTTTTTTAAATCATTTTCATCATTATGTGCTATTCCTGGCAGCATATGCATTCATGTCTTTCGACATGTGTCGGTTCTTAAAATTCTGGATCAATTCCAGTGATGATAATTCCACTCTGTTACTATTCAGTTTCGTCCTTTTTTAGGACAACATTTTTTTGTTATTTGAAGCCCCACCATGGCTTTTGCCAGGGGCCACAATATAGGCAGACCATAAATATGGCCAATTGCCTGAACGCGGTTTCTGGGACCTCTCCACGGCGATCCTCATCCACATGATGGCACTTTGTGTCATCGGGTGTTTATCGCTTGTGTGATGTCCTGGTGGGGTAGAAAGTCAGTCAGTCAGTGATGATATTCCTTTATGCTATTGCTTTGCGTAAACATGTATCATTTCTCAAGCTCTGATTCTTTTACCATTGATTTTTCTGGTCATCACAATGCTTTCTTCAATACCTCTCTACTCATTACATGACTAAAGAACACTGACTGCCTCTTTCTTACAGTTGTACAGTATATAGTTTTCTAATTTTCATTAGGCATTTCCGGGCAGTCGTTGTTTGTTACTGTGATGACCCTGCTTTGCTTGGTCTCCACGCTCACAGAAAGTCAAGCGGAAAATCAGTGTGACAAACAACCGCAGGAGAGTCTTAGGCCCAGTTGAGTAGATGTGGGCAGGCCCGAGCTAGACTCGTGGTCAGTTTGGTTACCAGAAGTTGTAGAAGACAGTTGTGTTAATAGAAGATGTAGTTTCAATGTCTTGAGGATGATTAGTGGATGTCTGAATAATTGTTGGAACAGTGTGGATGAATGTGATCAAATAAACTGACAGAAATGAATAAAGGAACGCAGACAGCTACAGACCCATCAGCCTCACTAGCTGTCTGTGCAAACTATTAGAAAGATTATTGAACAACCGACTGACCTGGTTCCTAGAGAAAAACTTCAAACTAATTGAGGAACAGGCAGGTTTTCGACGATATAGATCAACAGAAGACCAAATTACATTTATTGCTCAACACATTGAAGATGCATTCCAGGAAAAAAAGCACACTATTGCAGTCTGGGTGGATATGGAAAAGGCCTTCGACAAAGTGTGGAAAAATGGGCTGAAACAAAAGCTACGTGAAAGTGGAATATCCCATAACATGCTTGGGTGGATCGTAAAATATCTTGAAAATCGATCTGCAAGAGTCAAGATACAGGGTTCAAGGAGCAGATCAGTCTCAATGAAACTTGGAGTTCCACAAGGCGGAGTTCTGTCCCCAATTTTTTTCCTAGTTTACATTAACGACATAAAATCAACCCTCTGTAATGGAGTTCAAGCTGTTATGTATGCCGATGATCTGGCGCTACTGAGTTCAGAGGAGGACACTGAAAAAGCACAGACAAGGCTTCAAGAATCCCTGGGAACTCTAGAGAGGTGGTCCAATAGCTGGTACATGCCTGTAAATGGGGCCAAAACCACACACACCATTTTCAGTCTCTCTACCAAACCCCAGAAAGCTTCACTTAGATATGGCAGCCAGGCACTGATACATGGTGACTCACCGTCATATTTAGGAGTAACCTTTGATCCAAGACTCACATGGAGAAAACAGATAGAAAAGATCCAGAGCAAGGCACTCAAGAGAACACAACTGATGAGGAAGTTAGCTGGAACAGACTGGGGGGCGAACCTCAATGTCCTTAAGAGGACCTATACAGGCTATGTGAGGCCAACACTAGAATATGGAATAGCTGCTTGGGGCACAGCAGCTAAATCACATTTTCAGAAAGTCTCAAAGATCCAAAACCATGCTCTCCGTATTATGACAGGGGCAATGCGCTCCACGCCCATATCAGATATGGAAACAATTACTGGTCTCCATAATCTAGAAGATAGGAGAGACACAAAGCTCCTCACCCAGCCTCCAAATACCACCACTTTCAAGAACAACCCATGTACAGCCGACTGCAGAAACCCCAGAAGGTTAGACTAAAGAGAACCTGTTTTATTAAGAACGCAAATGCCAAGCTTGCCGTCCTTAAACTCCCTCCAATAATACCAAATGTTCCACTTAAACCTTACAACGACTGCCCTGCTTGGCTTAGGGATAGCCTACCAACAGTCAGAACCACTGTAACAGGGGTCTCCTCCAAATCATCAATGAGCAGCACTGATATGAAATCAACTACAGAAGGAGAGATCAATAGACTTTATCCACACCAGAGTTGGATTCGAGTGTATACAGATGGTTCAGCCAAGAGAGCAGTAAGAGACGGAGGAGGAGGAATATACATAGAATGCCCAAATGGTGTAAAAATCAACCAGGCTGTACCGACAGGTTCATATTCCTCCAATTACAGAGCAGAGGCAGAAGCACTTCTAGCGGCATGTTCTTTCCTGAATAAACAACAGCACAGCAAATATAGCAGAGTGGTCTTTCTGACTGATGCTATGTCAGTTCTACAAGCAATTGTTAACCCAAAAGACACTCAGTTTGTAGACTTAACGCAACAGCTGATTTACTTAGGCTCTTCAGTAGAACCATCTGTACTGCAGTGAATTCCAGGTCACTGTGGCCTGGAAGGCAATAAAATAGCAGACAGATTGGCCAGAAGCGGCAGTGACATGGTACAACCAAATAGCGACTTAACCCACCAAGAGATGAAAACACTAATACAATCTAGTATCCAAGAAAGGTGGCTGGATACCCACACCAGATTTTCTCCCCAAGACTCACTTCATCGCCTCTCTAGAGAGGGACAGTGCATTATATTCAGACTAAGGACAGGGCACAACAGATTTCGTCAACATATGTTCAAATTTTTCGGTGTTGGAAATACGGAGACGTGTCCCTGCAGCGTGGCACCCGAAAATGCTGAGCATGTGCTCCAACACTGTCAACTATATGCTGACAACAGAGACGCAATCTGAAGACAAAACTGTATGGTACACGAGAGGATATGGATTGCACGATAGCTTTCATAAAGGCTACCGGCCTCCTGAATATAAGTTTTCTGACAGAAGGATCGAAGAAGAAGAAGAAGAATAAAGGAACTGACAGCCGTTTGTGTTATCAATCCAGTTGGCACTTGATAAGAGATTTCAGCAGTATTTTGATGCTGCTGCCTTTACTTCCCTAGACCTATTCTTGGTGCCCATTTTAGTCTAGGTTGATCTGAGAGCCCAAGTAAATGTTATGTCCTGTCCTGTTATTTTATCACAATCAAGGTCACTGCACACTGGGCACTCCCATGTGTGCTCAGTCGCCCAATGCAGCAGCAACTCAAAGGTACCTCTTTGACTGTTCCCTTGAGAAGTTGGTTACAGTGTCTCCTGCGCTGGCCTTCAAGATGGCCTAGAAGTGCTTTACCAAGGTCGTAAGTTCATTTCACAGCTGTGTCATTTGGTTCCTGAGAGAAATTTGTACGGTTACCATTTCTGACGTTGTCAGAGCTACTATGTTGGTGCTTAGTGCAATGCTCTCGATAGACAGTCAGCCGTTTCTATGAAAAGAGACAAACCATATGGGATAAAACCTTGTGCAGTGAAGTTGATCCTTTCCATTTTAACCATTAGATTACCTTATCTTTATTTTATGCTGTCAGTTTAAAAAATATGCATGCTGTACTAACAGATAAATTTAAATCAGTAATATGTAGTTTATTATTTCCATAATGTGTTATAATTTATTATTTCTTTAATTTTTTTAAAGAAAAAGAGGTGAATTCAAATCTTTAGTGGAAAATGGAGAGAGAGATTTCCAAGATGAAAGTAAAAAAGATTTACTCAGGTCAGTGTGAAAATTGTGTTAGAAATAGTACAATACAAAATGTATACTAGAACATGTTTTAGTCTCTATGAATTATGTTTTTATTAAGTTAAAATTAGTTACATATCCTTTAGAGAAAATTGCAAACTCCAGCATTTGCATGCTTTATGAGTTTTTCTAGACAATTTTATGTTAAGAAGTTAAAGTTGGTTACGTGTCTGTTACTGGATTTTGCATGACAAACCTCCATTATTTTGTGCATGAGGCGGATTTTTGTTGTTGTTGTTGTTGAGTACGTTCAGTAATTTGATCAGATAGGTCTCTTTATTAAGAGGAGCAAAGAAATCATTTGTTGTAGTAATAGCCTAAAATGATCTTTTCTTTTCTCTACTCCTGGAATGCCTCGAGGCCTCGTGTACCAGGGAGAGATCTCTGGAATGGGTCCTTCTTTTTGTTTCATATAAAGTACTTTTAAGTGTATCCGATATTTGTGTGGTCCATATTCTGCGTGGTTGACCTCTGGGTCTGTTACTGCTGTATCTTTATAACATTGCTCTCTGTGGTGGGTGCCCTGTCTGCTGCTAGTTTTTTGTTACATTTGTTACATGGCCAAACCATTTGATTTGTTGCCTACCTTTAAAGTTCAGTATTGGTTCTGTGATGACTCTCCTCTTGTTATCATCATTCCTTAGTCAATCTTTCCTCGTTACACCTATCATAGTACGTAGACATTTCATTTCTGTCTTGACTATTTTCCTTCTGTCTTCTGAAGACAGTGACCATGTTTGACATTGATAGCACAGCGTTGGTAAGAATAATGTGTTGATCAGTGTTCTTTTGGTGTTCATATTCACATGCTTGCATTTCAAAATTAGTGCCAATTAGCCTAAAGCTTGATTGGCTTTATTTTATCTTTATTGGATGGATTCCTTTATTAATTTTTCTGTCTTCTGAAAAAATGCTTCCAGATATGTAAAATTTATTGCCTGCTTTAACTGGTGTTCATCAATTTTGATATTGGTGGTTCTTCCTTTTCTGGAGAGTGTCATCATTTCTGTTTTGTCCACGTGGATCTTCATAGCATAGTTGTTGCATTCTGAGCGGAGTCTATTAATATGTTCTTGTAGTTGTACCAGTCCCATGGTGCTGGTGCCTTGTTGTGGCGGGATGGCTTGAGTACCCTAATGACTCTCAAAGCTATGCTGCCAGGGGACTTGTTCCCCTGGCAGGTTTAACCATGATGAACAGACCTTGAAAAGAAGAATCAGAATCAAGAATGATAATGATGATGACGAATAGACTAGGAGTAGAACAAATAAAATATAGTTGCAATTATTTACGTGGAGAGACATAAACGTCTTTGTCACATGACAATGAGCCCGATGATGATTTTTATTTATTCTTTTTAAAAAACATTTATGGTATTAATCTGGTTAATTGTTTATATAAATCATCAGCTTTTGGCAATGGTAACTTTGTGAATTAATTTGTGGAAAATAAAGTGGAAACCACCGCATTTATGTCAAAGAAAAGTTGACTCTACTATTCTAAGTATAAGTACAAAATATTTTAACATGATTTCAACATTTTCAGAGCAATGATGATGACGGCATGTGATGTTGCAGCCATTACTAAGCCATGGAAAATCCAAAAGGAGATTGCCCAGCTCGTAACTGCAGAGTTTTTCGAACAGGGAGATATTGAGAAGACACAACTGGGTGAAAAACCAATAGTAAGAATTTGTATATTATAGTGTCTTATGGCAAAGATTAGGATATGAACCACTCACACCACACAGCTAGTAATGGCAGAGTTGTTCAAACAGGGAGATATTGAGAAGACACAAGTGTGTGAAAAACCAATAGTAGGAATTTGTATTTTATAGTGTCTAATAGCAATTGTAAATACATCCTGGTTTGGGACGCCATTTTTATTTTTTTTATTCTTTTTTGAAGACCCACTCCAGCTGTTGAAGAGGACCTAATATAACCCAACCTGTGGGTTGAATGGGGTTCTGGGACCTGTCCCCAGTAATCCACATCTGAATGCTGGCACTTTGTGTCACCGGGTGTTTATCACTCAGTCCTGGTGGGGTTAAACATCATCATCATTGTCTTATAGCAAAGATTAAGATATGATATGATCTACTCACACTGCACAGCAGGTTATTTTGTATCCACAGACTGTCCCAATATAATTGCTTATGTGGTTGAATAGGTTTCTGGGATTTTCTCCTGTTTAATTCTGATCCATTAAGTGGATGTTTGGGTCAGTGGGTGTCAGTGTTTCATACTGCAATCCTGGAAGGAACTTTTTTTAAACAATCTTCAAACCATGCTTTACACGCTCTCCTAAAAAAGAAATTCACAAAGAATAACAATTAAAAGTTGTATTTCCATGCTTATAGGTGTTTGGGCTTACTTATTAGTCCCATTATTTTAAAAGAACAATCGGTGCTTTCTTAATATCCTACCCCAAACAGAGGGAATCCACAAGTCGTGGGACAGTCTAATATTTCAGGGGGTGGTAGATAGGCTGGATGCAGTCGTGGGACCTAGGTTGTATGCAGTTGTGGGAGCTAAGCTGCATTCTGTCGTGGGACGTAGGTGGGTTGGGGTTAGGGCCAGTTCTAGATGTTTTGGGGTCATTAAAAGCATCAGAAAGCCAGGAAACCCAGTCTTACCACCCTCTTAAATGTTGGACTGTCCTGTGGCATCATCTGGGGTAGAATATTACGAAAGAACCGAACAGTCTACACTTAATGAGTGACATTCTCACACAGGCCACTTCCACTTTCCAAGACACTTCCTGGTACCTATTTTTGGCTGTTTCTTTCTTCTTATTTTCTCTACTCCTGGAATGCCTCCTGGCGTCAGGGCAGGAAGATATCTCTGGAGCAGACCCTTTTGATCGCTTCATATAAAGTACTTTAGGCTGTTTTAACCAAGTAAATATGGTCAGCTTTTTTTTTTAAATTGGCTTTGATAGAGATTTGATTCTTATGGCCACATGTCTAAAAAGCAAGTATGCTAACCTCTGGACAACCGTAAATATGCATGTAGCTAACACTTATAAATGTTCAACCAACTAAAAAAAGGGACCACTTTTCATGACATGAGGTCTGTTGGGTACGTGATGCCAGCCCAATTTTTTTTTTTTAGACCAAATTCAAACACATTACCACCTGGCAGCAGGCAAACATACTAGGCTTATTACTGTGCTATTGTGCTTTTGTGGTTTAACTTCCGGGATATTATCTTCTTCTTCTTTGCATTCACCATCTGTAAAGTACGGCAAAAAGTTATTTTTGTTCTTCCACCTCAGGACTTAAGACTGGTTCCAGAACCTGAGTGTTGCGTGCATATCTGTTTTACAGATCTAATTTATTTGTATGCAGACTGTTGATTCCTTGCCTCTCAGGAAGATGCATTCCAATCGAAGGAAATCTCCAATTAGTTTACTCTTACGACATACTTAGGGAGGCAGTGGGTCTATTCTTGTTTTCCCCACAATGGAACCCAGAAACACACATGGGGTCCAGTATCTTATTATAACAGTCTAATGAACAAAAATTGAACAAAGGTTCCTGGCTGTGTTGTTCCATTCATATCAACAAAGATTGGACAATTTGACTGTGAGACCTAGGTGATGTATAAATGGTACTACATCATGATGATGATATATTACAAAACTCTTTATCTATCTTTTCCATTTCATCATCCGGTCAAAGCGGTGGATAGACTGTTTTTAGCTTTTTGCTTTGGGCAATAATTAGCTGTTGTATTGTCTTCCAGGTGTAGACTGAAAGGATATAGTTCTGTCACCCAGCTACTGAGCTGAGTGCCTGGTGCTACACTGAGCGGTAAATGTAATTTGGGATGATTTTTTTTTTTACAGTTCTAAACATGGTTTGTATTGTGAACTGCAGATTTAGAAAATGGGGTGTGGTCTGTTGCCAGAAAACTTGTTTTGCCTTATGCAATTATTTGCCTGTGCAGCTACTGATCTTTTGTAACTGCTGCCTCCGTCGATGAGGAACTGCATTTCTAGTGTCATACTTTTGTTGTTGGCATTTCTGACTGTTACCTGATGGATTTAATGGGCATCTATGCTTTTTTGTTGTTGCTAAGACTGCAATCTGAGTCAGTTTTTGTTTCAGAAGGGACAGTAATGGACATTCTGTGTGGTTTTTATTAGCACTTGAATGGAGCAACTCTGGGGTGACCTGTTTGCTATAAAGTTGGAACTGTGATTACCTGATTTGCATGTTCTGCGTGTAAACAAGTAAGATTCATTAATATGAAAATGCACAAGGCTGGATAGCACTACTGATAACCAGTTGTATTAGGGGTAAAAAATAATCACTTATGTTTGTGTGTGTGTGCTTTTTTTCAGCCTATGATGGACAGAGAAAAGAAAGATGAGTTGCCGAAGATGCAAGTGGATTTTATTGATTTCATATGTACCCCAGTGTATGAGGTAAGAAATATCAGTTGTAGCTTTTTCTGAGTTTACTCATACACTGAAACAATTTTATCATCATCTCATGGTCAACTCTCCTACCTACACTGGTTAGTTGAACATCATATATAATGGCATACTTGCTCTTCATTATAGATGTAGCAGTAGTAATTTTTAAAAAAGTTGCCTGTTCACCCCTCAAGGTTATAATTGGAATATAAAGTATTCACAGAGTTCTAGCAGTATATATATATATATATATATATATATATATATATATATATATATATATATATATATATATATATATATCCTTTACAGGACGTTGCAGAACCAACCCCAACAGCCCTAGCTGTTATATGGTTTTTCTAGGCAATTTACGTCCAGTAGTTTGCTGTTGCTTTTTGGACGGTCGGTTTTCTTGATACCACTGTCGAAACCAACGCAAGGTGCATGGCCTGCAGCTGGGATCGAACCCGGCATCCCAGCATTATGAAGCGTATGCATTGACCTAGCCACAGAGCCGACATATATATATACATATATATATATATATATGTATATATAATTTTATATACTGTGTTATTTGTGGCCTCCGTGGCTTAGGCGTTGCGAGTGTGACTTGTAATTCTAAATTCCAACCCACTGCTGGCTGCGTGGATTTTTATCATGGTATAGGGTGTCGCAGGTAGACCAAATGGATACCAGGATGTATGCCTTGGGGAAGTAAAGATGGTCGGCGTAATGCTGACCACGTTACCTACCTAGTGCCGATTGGTCTGTAAAAATATGGGTGCTCTTCCCATATGCACGATGTGCCTAAGAGGTTAAAGAGATCTATATTTTACTTATTGTGTTATTTATTTAATACAGTTATATAATTTGTAATATTGTTTCAAATATTGCTTTGTTTTTACCTTTAGGGGTTGAGATTAATATACAAATTGAAGTATGAGTATTTAAATAATCATACTAACACTTTGTCATTAAAATAGTTGATTTATTATGCCCTTTGTATAAAAGTTAATTACCCTAGTCGATCTTATCGTTAGGAGAAATTTCTTTACAGATGATATGGGCATTCCTTACTTTTCCATTTATAGATTTTAGTTCTAGGAAAAAATTGCTTCATCTTGCCACACAGTTCTCTGGATCTGTCTATGTACAACAGGTTCTCTATCATCAAAGAAATCTACAGATATTCATGCAGTCAGTTTTTCTTTAGATTTCATTTTCTATTATAGAACTTACTCATCACTACTAAACTCTGTGGCATAAGTAGAAACAGCAGACTTGAGTAATTTTTTGTTTTGTTTACAATATCAGTTATGATAAAGTGGGCTTTTTTCTTTCTTTCTTTCTTTTTTTGTTTTGTGTAACACAATATAAATTTGTTTGTTTAAAAATGTTTTTTACTATATTGATTTGCTATTGTAAAGTCAACTTGGAAATAAATTTGTTGTTGTTGTTGTTGCTTTATGTAGCTGTTTGCAAAGATTTCTGATCCACTGAAGAACTTGAGAGATGGCTGTCTGAGTAATAGACAGCACTGGCAGGAGCTAGCAGAGCAGAGAATGCAAAATCTTCCATCTGAAAATGAGAAGGCAACCGAGGCAGGTTCGATCCTTTCTGGTTTATTTGTGCCAGTTTATTGTCCTGTTTTAAATGTGTCCTTAATTTGTCAGTAAAGTAACCAATTCACAAGTATTTTCTGTTGAATGAGTTATTTGGTTGATTACCTAAAATTAGCATCTAGGGCTCCGAAAGCAGCCATAAGTACTTTGCTTTCTTCAACTAATGTCACAGTATAGAGTTGTATTTGGGAGACCGACCCTGTTTGAAAAAAACAAAAAATCAATGTCAGCAGAGCTCAAACCCCAAAAATCAATTCAATGTCGAAAATTATTTATGCTGTTAAGTTTAATTTTAATCCACGTTGGGTGAATGTGGGAAAAATTTACCTTCACTCCCAAGTCGACCCCGCCCAAAACAGGTACCAGATAATGTCCTGGAACATAAAGGAACAGTATGATTCTGCATAAAAGTATATAAAACATACGAGTCTAGCATCATTTACCCAGTCCGCCAAAATTAGTTTAGCATCATATACCCAGTGTTCTACTGATGTAACAAGGGTCCTTTACTTTTTTTTTTCAATCTAACTAACACTTACTGTTTATCGGCAGTTAACACTAAATATGTAACACTACTTCAACACTACGTATGTCTGTTATTATTAGTATGTAGCTTGTTTTTTGCGGAAATCTGCTCCAATCAATACCTGCCATTAAGCCTCTCTTTGTTTTCCAAGCCTATTTCTCTGTGGCTTGCATTTCCATGTTTAGGGTGTCTCCAATATTCTCTCTGTCCACCTGCTTCATTCAATTATTTGTGTGTTGTGTCTTGTTTGTTGTTGTTGTTCTGCTGATAAAGGCTATTTGCCGCTGTTTGTTTTTTGTAAATGGTTTTGTAAAGCTGACATATATATTACGTATTTCTTTCTGTCTTTTTGCTTTCCTACTTTTGCATTTTTATATTTAAAAAAAATATTTTTTCAGGAAAAATACCTTCCATTACTGCTCTTTCTAAACCACAGCGGCATTAAATATGGCTGAGATATTTCAGTCCTAACAAATGAAACTGTTTACTAGCCAGTTTTCTTAAATTATCTTAAATTACTTTACTCTATGTGGGGGTTCAGTTACAGCATTTGTTCGGGGGGTTTTCTTTGGGGGGGGGGGGGGGGTCATAAAAGGTAACCATTTAAAGGATTTGGTGAAATCAGATGTGTTTCGCCAAAAGCGCAGATATCACACCCTATCTGAGAACCACAACACAGCATGCCAACTGGCCTTCTAATGACAAATGAAGATGATGCACACACGCACAAAAAGAAATCCTTGACAGTGCTAGCATTTCTTTCCTTGATCCATGAATAAATAGCTATACCAAAATAACAACTGTTTTCAAAACAACCAAAGTCATAAGAAATGTAATACATTTTTAAAACAACATACCTTAAAAACAAATCAGTTAAAAATTTGCAAAACAAAATAAACTACATTCTGAAGAAAAAAAACATGATTAAAAAGGTGACCAATGACATTTTGATCATAATAATATTTAATATAATTTCCAAATTCAACAAGTATTTTGAAAGCCATACAGCAGGTAAATAATTAAACATTTTGATTTAACCTTTAATTTTAGCACATCTGATTAAAAGAATTTTGAGTATGAGAAAGGTCAAATGCTTTGGTGCATTATTTGTTTAATTATTCTACTTCCTGTGCATCAAACAATTTCAATCCTACAAAAACATGTATTTCTAGACTATCCTAATAAGATATATTTCATTCATTACATAATATATATATATATATATATATATATATATATATATATATATATATATATATATATATATATATATATATATATATATATATATATATATAATTAATTTTTTGTTCATCAAATGTAAATTATTTTTTCCAGAAATTCATCTTGATTAGATTTACTGTACTATCAAGAGAATTTCTATATTGTGACGTTTTACCACATTTTTATGTTTCTGGATTAAAGTTAGGTGTACCCTTAATAATATCAAGGAAGCTTAAAGACTATCAATAGAAAACTTCAAAAATGATGCAATAACTTCTTAACCTGCACTGTTCTAAATGGGTGTGTGTGTGTGTGTGTATATATATATATATATATATATATATATATATATATATATATATATATATATATATAGAGAAAACCAAATATACTATACCTGTAAGTCTCCTGGGGACAATTCCGGGGGATTGTTTAGACTCACTGCTCTCTAGCAAGCATGTTGCAAAATGAGACTAATTATAAGTTTGCTGACATTGGATTTGTTGAGCTGACAACATAATTTTGCAGCAATAGATCAAATTAAACATAAAACTGCAGAATTTGTTTAGTCATTCGATAACCATTGATCCAAGATGTCTATCTTCCCAGACCAGCAGGGTAATACTTGGTGTAGCCATTATAGAGGTCCTAATCGAACTCTCGTAGAATATTAAACAGGTTATAAGGGATTTGTTGACTTGTTGTCTTTGTCTTGCCATTCATTATGTTACTTTTCAAGCTGCCAGTGTGTGACACCTTCTGGTAGCGACTTGGAAGGGGAAAGCAGTTGGCAATCGTTTGTTTAAACCAAAGTTAACTTTGCAAGCATTCCTGTTATTAATTCTGATATTTCACAAAAATTTGTATATATGTGTGAGAGATTCAGAGAAAGAGAGTTAGAGTCCAAGACAGAAAGATTATTATTAATTAGTAAGAGTAACATTCATACTTTCTGGTTTCTTTCATTTTTTTTTTTACTGGGTCAGTGCATGTTGGGTGTGATATTTCTTCGAAGAATTAATTATTATAATTATTGGGTTTTCCCCCATTAATGTATGCTTATTTCATTGTCCCCTCATGTCTTACATGTGTTGTAATATTTACAGAGTGTTGCCTTGTTTGTTTATTTTTCTTAAACAGTGCATATTTGCAGAATAGGAATAACAGCATACACAATAAAACTGTTTTCTGTTTCTATTTTATCTTTCCTTACTGTGAAAATATAAGTAAAGCTATGACCAGTGAATAGTTAAGAAACATTTTTCTGAACCATTACAATTTAAAAGAAAAAAAGTCTACTACTATTATTTTGCCAGTGGTGCTTCAGCAAATCAGGCTAGACTCATATTTTGTATAGACCAATCGGCACTCAGTGGCTGATATGGTCAGCATCACACCCGTCATCTTTATTTTCTATGACATTCACTTGGTACCCATTTTAAGCTGGGTGGACCTGAAAGCCAAGGTCAGTTTATATTTAAATCTGACTTGATGATGTGGATATGAACTGAAGACTTGTTAAAACATTGTGCTAAGTCAAAATTGTCTAAATAAAACTGAATTTGGTGCTTGTAACCTTGTCAGGCCCAAAAAGGGTTGGGATTGGGGCCAGTTCTAGATGTTTTGGGACTGTTAGAAGCGCTCACATCTTGGAATATAGAACATAGTTTAATATCACCGGCTGCTGACAACAACAAGTCAAGTACTACGTGTTGCGGACTGGCTTGCTGGCAGGGCCACGGTAGGTACAAGAAAAGTAATGGACGGGGCTGATATTCTTAATGCTGTCAAGAAGGTAGGACAAGAAGACGATTCAGGAGATGATGGTGAGATGGCAACACGCAAAAGACTACAAGAGCTTAAGGTGAAAAACATGAAAACTATACAGGTAGTCAAACAAGAATAGTAAACCAATAGAGAAATAGTAAACCAATAGAGAACTGATGTTATCAGTCGCCACATGCTGGGGGATATACAGAAGATGCTTATGAACTTGCCCAATGTGAAGTGAGGATAATCTGTTGAATAACTAACTACAAGTGATAGGATAATGTCAAGAGAGTTTGGGATAGCGGTCCAAGACAGTGTACAGTCAGGACAAAATCCTTTTTAAAACAATTACACCATACCAAATGTAGAACCCATCTGCTTTACATTATCACAAACACAGATAACACATAAATGTTGTGTATAGACAGCTTTCATCAGCACACGAATCAGAATGCACAAAAATCAATTTACTGTAGTGTCTCTGAAAGGAATAAAAAATCTGTCTGGCAAGTTTAATCTCTGACACGTGGGTGACCACTGAAAATAAATACTAACCAGAAGAAGAAGAAAAAGCTGTGAAAGGCAAGGGCTGTAACTCCTAAATATTACATAAAAATGTTCCGGCTGTTAAGTCCCCCTGACAAATTAGAGCCCGTTAGGACAAGAAACAAAGAGTGAGATCTTGTAAAGCTAACCTTCATTGCAGAAATGACACCTCATTGTTTGAAGACAGAAAATCAGTCACAATCTGTTCATATCTTCCTCTTCTGTGTTTGCCCATTAAAAGGCAGTTGGTAGATTAGTTGCGGTTCACATCTAAGCCGTGATATCTGTGCCTTGTGACCCATCATATCTGATTTCAAAAAAATCTTTACTTCCATTTTTATGACATGCTTTTAAAAGAGCAATGGGTCTTCCCCCCCCCCCCCCTCTTTTCGCCACTGCAAATAAAAGAAGTGTTAATGATACATAAATGATACTGATAAGAAATAAAATAAAGTAATAAAAAAAAAAAAAAAAAAAAAAAAAAAATCTTCCAAATGGGGCCTCAGCCCAGAACGCACATTGAGGATTTTTGTCATATTATGAGAGGACAAAGACCAGAACTTACTGTAACAGCTAAAACATTCCTGGAAAACAAAGTGATGAAGAAGCGACTTACAAAATTTTGGACTGCATGCAGTATGAATGATACCTTTTGTGAGGAAGCAGCAGCTATAATTACTATAAAGCATTAGTATCCACAATTACTGGCAAAGAACAAGATGATTAAAAATCAGCTGCGTGAAAGTATATAATGTGAATTTGAATAGGTTTCTGAAAATATTTGGTTCTGTTTTATTCATCCTAGTTTTCAAAACAATTTAAAAATGTAAAAAAAAAGAGCATTTGAGTTTTTTGTCCATGCTGGCTTACAAAATGGGATTAAACACAAGCTGCCCTAATGCATATAATGTGACTGCATAGAGTCTCAGAAAATCATTGCTTCTTTTCATACTAACTAATTCTTCAAACAATACTAAAACATACAAAGAATATTAATTAAAAAGTTATTCCGCTATTCTAACAGTGTGTAGATTTCTCACAATATGGAAATCGCTTGGCTACTGAAATAACTATTTACAATTCCGGTTACACTCATTTGCCACTATTTAATTTGAAAACAATTACATTGAACTTCCAGTGTAGGACTGTAAAAGATCAGAATAAATGTAATAAATATCTACTGAACTTAATGAAATAAATGACTTGTGTTGATTATTTTTATTTTTTAATCGACATAAATTTGTATCATAATCGTCATCATCATCAGGTGCCTTGCCTACTGACGTGGGCGATCATGCCTCTCCACAGTCTGCGATCTCCTGCAGGATTTCAGTTCGTGTGCTGACACACCTCCATATCATGCAACAAGACTGTCAAGAATCTTCTCTCCTTGTCTTCCTCTATCCCTCCTTCCACAGATCTTTCCAGTAGTCACATGTTCCATTTTCCCTCTTATCATATTATGTCTGAAAAATTATTACTGTCTCCTTCTGATGTCTGTGATAAGTTGTCTTTTGGCGCCTGCCTCTTTCAGAACCTCTTGGTTGCTCTTTTTGGCTGTTCATGGTATTTTAAGCTTTCTTCTGTAAAAACACATCTCTGAGGTTTCAAGAAATTGTTTGGCCTACCTACCGATTTTCCAGCACTCACAACCCTACGTCAAAACTGGATATATATAGCAAGCAAGAATTCTTTTTCTAGCCTTCAGTGAAAGAGATATGTTTCAGAATCATCATTAATTGGCACTTCTTCCGCTTAGCATTGTGGGGAGGAACAGTTTGCGCTCCACTACTTGATTGATGGTCAGCAATGGCTATTGATTGTCATTCTGTGTCGATGTAGAAGCTCTTTAATGTCATCAATCCATTTTCTCCTAGGGCGGCCTCTTGCTTTTACTTCAGATCTTTTCATGTGTAGCACCTGTGTTGGTAGTTTTTCTGGCTGCCTTCTTACTAAATTACCAAACCATTTGATCTTCTGTTTCTCAATGAATTTGCTGCATGGTGTTGTTCCTATGGTCTGATATCATTTCTAACTTTGTCTCGGAAAGTTAAGTTTGTGGCTTTTCTCAGGCATCTCATTTCAAAGGTGGTAATTTTAAGTAGGTTAGCCTTTAATAATGTCCAAGTCTGGCACTGATAGCACAGTGATGGTATGAATATGCTGTTATAATCTGTTTTTTAGCGCTCATACTTATATTTGAATGTCTTAATAACGGTGTCAATTGGTATATAAGTGCACTGGCTCACTGGCATCTTGTTTCTATTTCCCGATCTATTCTCCCGTCCTTCGAGAATATACTTTCTAGATATTGAAATTCTGTAACTTGCTTCAGACAAGAAGCATTCAGCCCAATCTGTAGTGGACTAGAAATTCTGTAACTTGCTTCAGACAAGTAGCATTCAGCCCAATCTGTAGTGGACTAGGAATTCTGCTGACCTGCATTACTTCAGTTTTGATAGTATTTTGTTTGTTTCATGTTATATATTCTGCATGTTGAACTTAACCTGTTCAAATGTTATACAGTCTACTCCCCTCATTGTAGAACAGTCATGATTGTCTGCAAATATGTATTTGTATATTCATTGATTTTATTAACTAACTGGTTATATATCAGGCATTTATTTACTTTTTAAGTTGAGTTAAGCTAAAAACAGACTTCACAGTAGCAAAGACATTCCTATAAGCACTCTGTCCTCATCTACAGTACCCATTGAGAAGTACAAGTATATAATGACAAGTAATAGTATAAAAGAAGCCGTGATGGTGTAGCGACTAGACTTTACTTTCTAGGACTTTACCTGGTATCCGTTTAAGGCTGGGTCAACCTGGGAGCCTAGATCAATATTATTTCTTAAGTCCGGCTCTGTCAGGACCTGAACCCACGACCTTCTGATCTGCAGGTGAGAGCCTGGCCACTCTACAAAGGTGACTCAAGTATATAATGACAAGTAATAGTATAAAAGAAGCCGTGATGGTGTAGCGACTAGACTTTACTTTCTAGATCTTTACCTGGTATCCGTTTAAGGCTGGGTCAACCTGGGAGCCTAGATCAATATTATTTCTTAAGTCCGGCTCTGTCAGGACCTGAACCCACGACCTTCTGATCTGCAGGTGAGAGCCTGGCCACTCTACAAAGGTGACTCCCTATGACCACCACTGCTACATGGCTCTCAACCCTTCTTAGTTTTTTGTATCTTTTTTTTTTTTTTAACATTCAAGCAACATTTTCATGTCTTATGTGCAATGGGAAGATAGTGCTAGATGTATATTTTTAAAGACCAACTGGCAGTTTTAGTTTTTAAGTTTTACCCCTCCAGATGCATTCTGTAGGAATAATATCTTAAGGATGTTAATCAAGCAGCTACAAATTTCAGACATCATGTTCAATCATATCACTATTAGCAGTTATTGGTACTCTTCGCTGGCTGCTGAAGATGGGGACGGAGTGCTTATGGAAATGCCTCGAGTGCTGTGATGTCGGTTCTTGAATCAAATCAAATCAAATCAAAATCACTATTAGCAGTTTTATTGGGGCACCAACAAACGGTTATGATGTAACAAGTAATCCAGTGTGGATGAGTTTTTTACTGAATAGCCAATGGAATTGGCACTTGATGAGCGATGTGTTCAATATCATTCCATTTGTTTTCTGGGGATAATCAACGATTAATTATTAATTAAAAGACTGTATGTGATACTGCTCATGTCATTATCCCCGCACATTGGACAGCAGGTTACTTAGTAACCACCTGGGGCCCCAATACTGCTGTATCTTGTTGAGCAGAGTATCTGGGATTCACTCCATTTTGATGCCCATCCTCATAGTGGCTCTTTGGGTCACTGATTATCAATCTTTAAGGCTGAAATTCTGGAGGGAAGGGTTAAAGTTTGTTTTTTTTAAGTAAAAAGTAATGGGTTTTTTTTTCCACTGACATTATGTAATAATTAACAATATAACCTGAAATTAACTAGAGCTTTGAGACTATTTTCTGAAGATTTGTATTCATTTCTCAGCTGAATGACTTTGCCATGTTAACATTACAACATGTCCCTGACAGGAGAAAAAGACCAAGAGTTACCAGATGAGCACAAATCTGATGAACAAGACACAGATAAAACAAAGGAAGACAATGGAAGCCAAGCCATCGACACATCACTGAAAACTGACACAAAACCATTAGAAAGTCAAACAGACTGTAGTAGTAACATTTCATCTAATCATAAATGTAACGAAGAAGAAAGCTACAAGGCAGAGCTGTCCAATTCTAATGTAAGTAAAAAAATTAACAAGTTTACTCACTGTTAAAATTGCTGAAAGAAATCATTTTGAATTATGGTTTACTATTATTTACAACTAACATCCTTCCACTTCGGGAAAACCTTCAGGGTCTAAGTTTTCCTCTGTATAATATCTATATAAACATACTGGTTTTATTAATTTTATAGTGCACCTGTGTCTGCATCTGCATCAGTCTATTATTTATGCTGCTATTTTTATTAAAAGCTATAGCAAAAACCATTTTGTTTTGGGCATCATTTGCAGGACCAATCCCGGCATCTTTTTGTGTGCTGTGATTTTACTAGGCAAATTTTATGTTCAGCAGTTTACCATTTCTTACTGAAGGGTCGGCTGCTGACACCACTGTCAAAATCAACATAAAGGGTCTGCTGGGCAATCGTCTGCAACTAGAATCAAACAGTTTGTCTCAGAATTACACACCACAGCCACATACTAAGCCTGCTTATCTATGTTTTCGGCTGGTGAACAGCATTAGATATACTCTGATTTGCAGGCTGTGAGCATTGTTTGTCCTTGCCTTGTTCTTGTTAACCTTTTATTTTTATTTGTTATTTATTTGAGTTTTTTATTAACCCTCATTATGGCTCCCTCCCAAGAAAGTGAAAAAGTGTTAGAAGCAGTGGTGTAAATAAGCTAAGCGTAATACAGTAGAAACAAAGAAGCAAATGATAACTAAACATAAGAATGGTGTTCGTGTTTCTGATCTGGCCAAGCAGTACTACATAGCTATATCTGCAATCTGTACTATTGTAAAGAACAAATATATGCGCTAAGGATGGCTGATTTGGCTAGTGTTGAATGTTGAACTGAGAATCGACATCACAGCACTCAGGACACTCTGTCCCCATGTTTAGCAGCAAGCAAACAGTTTCAATTCAGAGGGCACCACTAACTATCTGATTATACATCCATCTCACCTTTCCCTTGAGGCGAGACGTGTCACCCAGATCCCAGGGTAACTCCTCGCATTGTCATTCTCCTCAAACAATAATGATCTATCTGTACTTCCACACTGTTCACTCCCTTCCAAAGGGGCCCTCACAACATCTGGCTTGTCATACATCAATTCACCACCAGATGGTGCATAACCGGCAAGTCTGTCTGCCTGCTCAGTTCCCAACCCACCAGCATATCCTTAAGAAAATGTCCAAAGGACACTAACTATTCAGGACCTCTGAAACAATGCTTGCCACTCTGTACGTGCTAGTGGGGTGACTATGTTAACAAAGCAAAGGTTTTAATTGTTGAAAGAAATTGAAAAATTATTGTTAGTTTGGAATAATGAAAACATCTTGCTGGAGATAGTGTTTGTGAAGCCCTACTTTGTCTTCTTCGTCTTCTGCCTTCATCTGAAGATGTAATTGCGTTTGGTCGGTTTACAGCATGGCTGCGATATTTACACCTTTCGCCCAACACATCCGACTTCTGCGGGCATTTGTTGACTTGGTCCCGGTTGCTCTACTATGTGAGAAGACATTATTTTTGCAAGCTGATTTAGTTGCAAAAGGTCCCGGTTGCTCTACTATGTGAGAAGACATTATTTTTGCAAGCTGATTTAGTTGCAAAAATGCTGAATACAAGTGCTGCTTGTGACTAGTGTTGACACAAATCCATTTGTTGAAAAAATAAAAACATTGTTTCTCTATCAGGTGAATGGATTACTTCACTTTGCAATAATTTCAGTAGGTAAAATTGTTTCGGTTTGAGAATGGAGTCAAAAAATGAATTAAATACGCAATATGAGGTACCGCTCTGTGTGTGCGTTGTGCGTTTGTGTGTGAGTGTGTGTGGGGTGGGGACACACACACATGCATACCTATATACCTATCAAGATCATCTGGTCATCGTTGTAAAATTACCCATGTATGAAGTATCTGGTGTTGATTTCTAGTATTTATTTTTTATGTTCAGGCTGTTAGCTTCATGAACACTAAAACAGTTAAAGGAAACATTTGTATTTGTACCATTAGTGTTTGTCATGGCGGGTCTCTGTTTCCACACACTATCCATGGTATGATAAATAGATTTACAAGATGCAAAAGAAAGAAGTACGGGTAGAAGGTTTTCTGTAAGTGCCGACCAATTCTTATACATTTATTTGCCATGCTATTTCAATAGCCCAAAGCACAGCTATTCAGCTAAGTTAACTCAGGGGCCAAAGTGTTGAAAATGTGGATCATCATGGGCCAGAGGCCCGACCTTCTGCATAAAAAGATCATTAATACATGCAACTGACAATGATCTGCGGGCCACTTGTTAGACCTCTGTGGGCCAGATTCAGCCTGCAGGCCACCAGTTGAATAGCCATGGTATAAAGGCTTCCCTCATGTGATTGGCATAGTTGTGGTATACTTTGTTACGCATGGAACTTTTCATCTGCTTACTCCCAACTACAACTTATTCTGTTGTACCTTTGTTTAATCATTTCCATTACACTCATGCTATATATGATCCTGAGTATGTTCAACATGTTTCAGTGTAAGTTGAAGGAAAGCTAAGTTTTATAGACTTGAATATTATTTCATATAAAAATATATGTATGTTGAACAGGATTATATCAGTTATGTTTGCCTTTCATACTTGTATGTTTATTTTTAATTTTTTGAAGCCATTTTTTTTTTAAATAATATTCCATTTATTCCATGTCTTGGTGTTAATAATGACCATATAAGGTAATCAGAATAAGAGAAATGTTGGACAGATTCAAGCAGCATAAAGATGTGGTAGGATACAACTAAAACTTTGAACTGAAGTCCTTATATAGAAGGGTACAGTATGACCATGCTGTCTTTGAAGAAGTTTCTCTTAAAGATACAGTTAATGAGGATAATCAACTATTATACTAAGTGCAAAATAAATCCACTATTTTAATACCACACTGTTAATAAGGTTATCAAATATTCATAGTACAGTTTGTATCCTAATCACAAGCCAGGAAGGTATTAACAAAACAAGATTCGAAACAATAATACAATTACATAATTGTCCTAAATAAACAATTACATGATATGCAACAAATAAATACTCTGAAAACTCTAAAAGCACTTTATATCCCAGTTACAAGCCTGTAGGCTAAACATTATATTTTTTATAAATATTACAATCGATATTAAAACTATATATTATAAAAATTATTGTTTAAAAAACGGGACTGAGACTTTTTAAATCGTATACCTCGAAGGTTTGATAAATATCCCTTACTTTTTATTTTGTTTTGTTCAAAATAGAAGGATGGTAACCAGTCTAGTTTTCCATCAATCATTATGTGCTAGTTCATCAATTCTTAGTCCGGAATTTCATCAGTATCAAACGTCTTCTTCTGTGTTTACCCCTTAATGAACAGTTGGCATGTTGTATTGTGGTTTACAGCGAGCATATGATATCTTTCGACCGAATCATCTGATTTGAGCAAAACCCTAATTCACTGCTCCACTAAAAATGCGGTCCTAGGACCACAGGGGGATGTCCCAAACTACTCTATCATTCTAGGTCACTATATTTTCTTGTTCTTCTCCTTTTTTTCTTCTTTTTCTTCTTCTTCATCGTCTTCTTGTTCCTTTTCATGTACTTTTTCTTGTTCTTGTTCTTCTTCTTCTTCTTCTTCATCTTCTCCTCCACATTCACCAGCTGCAAACACCAGTGGAAAATTATGGTTGTTCATCCACTTCTTAAGTCTTGTTCTAGAACTTGAGTTTTGGGTGCACATTTATTTTACAGATCTGACTTGTGCATATGCAGACTGTTGGTTCCCTACCTCTCAGACAGATGCACTTCAGCTTAAAGGAAACCTAATTAGTCGACTGTTACGACATGCTTTTTAGGGAGGCAGTAGACTTGCCCCCCCCCCCCCCCCCACATACACATAATAGAACCTAAGAACCTACAAGAGGATGCTTTTTATCAAAGAAAAGTATATCAATCCCTTGTACTTGAATTATTAGTTCAACTAATTCTGTCTCATGGTGTCTCAGTTCAACTTCAAACTAAAGTACTTATTACTTTTTTAAGCTCAACTAACTGGAATATAAGGTGTTCAGTAATAACTGCTCGAGAGAAAGAGTTGATGCACACATTTTTGACGCACTATACAGGCAATGATCAGATGATTTAAGTTATTGTTGAATGTAGACTCCCTCAAAACTTTAATGCAATTATCTTTTAAAGAGAATTCTTCTTTTCTTCTTCTACTTCTTCTTCTTCTTCTTCTACTTCTTCTTCTTCTTCTTCTTCTTCTTCTCCTCCTCCTGCTGCTGCTGCTGCTGCTGCTGCTGCTGCTGCTGCTGCTGCTCCTCCTCCTCCTCCTCCTCCTCCTTCTCCTTCTTTTTCTTCTTCTTCTTCTTCTTCTTCTTCTTCTTCTTCTTCTTCTTCTTCTTCTTCTTCTCCTCCTCCTTCTTCTTCTTCTTTTTCTTCTTCTTCTTCTTCTTTTTCTTCTTTTTCTTCTTCTTCTTCTTCTTCTTCTTCTTCTTCTTTTTCTTCTTCTTCTTCTTCTTTTTCTTTTTCTTCTTCTTCTTCTTCTTCTTCTTCTTCTTCTTCTTCTTCTTCTTCTTCTTCTTCTTCTTCTTCTTCTTCTTCTTCTTCTTCTTCTTCTTCTTCTTCTTCTTAGCATTCATTAGCTGCAAACTCCAGCAGAAAGTCCTGGTTGATTGTTCCCTTCTGGACTTTACTATTCTTTCAGAACTTGAGTTTTGCATGCATATCCATTTTACATATCTAACTTATTTGTATGCAGACTAATGGTTTTTCACCTAATAAGCTGATCCACTCTGACTCTGATGGAAGCACCCCTAATTAGTCTACTTTCATGACATTTTTGTCAGGGGCAGTAGGTCTGTTCTTTTGGGGCTTATTTGTGCCCCCGCCCCCACCCCCAATGGGACACTGGAACCTGTATGAGAATGATAAAAAAATCAAGAGCTTTTACCAAACAGGCACTTGTCACCCCACTTCATAATTCCAAACCTAAAATATGTTAAATCCCCAACTACATCTACTTTATCTTTGTCCCAAGCATTTGTTAGGACTGATCGAAGTAGTAAAATATTTTATCAAAACCATCAGAAGCTTTGACAGAGCATTTCTTATCACCAAGTTTCATAATTCCATACCTAGTATGTGTGATATCCCTAACTACACGATGACATTGCTTTATCTTTTTCTTAAGTATATGTTAGGTATTCTGAAGTTAAAACCATAAAACTATGAATTCTTACATAAGTTACACATGTAACATCAGATTATCAAAGCACTAAGAAGCTATGTACATAATTGTATTAATTTTTCCACTGTTTGAAAATGCCAGCTAATACAGGAACATCTTTAATCTCATTGTGACAAGTTATTTCTGATTTGTACATTAATTTAGTTTACTCTGTATTAAAAAGCACAAATATGTGTGTTTCTTGCAAGGTGATGTTATTTCTTATGTAAGCTTATAATTGCTGCATAAATATTTGTACCCTCTAAACACACCTACTAATTATTTACTTGTTGTATCTGCAGGTAAATAATGTAAATGTGCAGCAAAAATCATTCAATCCTACATTTCTATCTGAGATGGATAACGGAGAAAAGCGGCCAGTTTTCAAAAGCTGTCAGCCCAAGGCACCAAGCAAAACATCCAAAAGTCATTTCTGCCTAATTAGCTGACTATAGCTCAACACTTTACACCCCAGACATTTTATCAGATTCAAGCGGGATTTTCTGTTTATCGATTTCCTAATAGAGAGACAGAGTGAATCTCTTATGCTGATGAACCTACAAATGCAGATTTAGATGCCGTATGATGATAAAATAGAACAACAGCTTGACCATTCCAGGAATATGTTTACCACAATTTTTAAATAAATCTTTTAGAATACAGTTGAAATGTTCATTTTAAAATTTATAAAACAGAAAGAATATCAAATGAAAAGGGCATAAATTGTTATTAATAATGCTGTTATATGTATGATAATTAATATTATCACGATCCATGCCTCAGTTTCCGTTTGTTTGTTTCATAGTGTATCAGTCATGGGTACCTCTGTGTCTTATTTCTTTTCTTCTTTTTCATCAGTAGAAGATAGGTTGGCATATTGGGGTTTACAGCTAGGCTGCACTATCTGCACCTTTTTGTGTAATTCATCTAGTTTCAGCAAACCCCTAATTGGTCACCTTTAAGGCCATGCTTATTACACAGCTGTGAGTCTGTTCTATTTCACACCCATAATGGGGATTTCTTGTCTTCCTAAATCATTGTCATTAATCACATGTTTACTCTCTTTCACTTGTTGCTTCTATTTCATATCATTCAGCGTGCATTAAACAATGTTAATATTATTACATTTTTAGCTGATTATTATTGTAAGACAACAGTACCCTGCAAGGGGACACCAATATATTTGTAGCCAGAATACACATTCATCTACCTCTGCTAAGAAAGAATGGACAGCTAAGAATCTGCAGAACAATGTGCAATACAAATATAGAATCTTACTTTGGAGATTTTAGTTTTGTCAACCATATTGTTTTCAGCCACACACACTTGTACAATTATTTATGTTTGCATTGGTACTTCTTTCTTTCTGTCCTTGATCCTCCATTTCTAATCTAATTTTGGTTTAAAACACTTATAAAGTACCATTGTCAGTTGACACTTATTCAGGTTGTAATGAATTTGTGTGACAGCTGAAAGTCATATTTTTCTCATTTGTTCTTCTCTCAGCGAATATTGACAACAAGCAACTCCATTGTGTGATAACCCAAATTGTATATATATTCTCACAATATTCTTACACTTGTAATCGCCAGGTAGTGGTTAAAAAAAAATATCACCAAGCATTTTTCAGTTTGAACATTTCAGTCTTTCTAAACTGTTTCACTTTGCTGTAGGGAGGTGTGGGAATCGCAACACATGGCGTTACCAACTAAAGCCAGGCATAAAGTTTATCCTCTCAATAGCACAAAGTCTGGGCAGTATTGTAGAGACTGTGCTGCAACACCAAGTATAATTAGGGGTAAATATAACACTGGCGACTTGGTCAAATCAAGGCCATATCCAGTAATATTGGGAAAGGCCTTAGTCAAACAGACATATGTTTAACTAGTACTGCCATGCGAGCATGCTACATGCTCAGAGTTTTGATGACTACATTTATTATTGTGATGAATACTGCCTCTTCTTCTTCACATTCACTGGCTGTATACTCTGATGGTAGGTAGGTAGTTGTACCCCACCAGGACATCACACAAGCGATAAACACCCAGTGACACAAAGTGCCACCATGTGGATGAGGATCACCCATGAAACGGTCCAAGAAACCCCTTTCAGCCATAAGGCCATATTTTTGGCCCTGCTATATTCAGGGCCCCCAGCAAAAGCCAGAGTGGGGCTTCAAAATATTGCCAATAAATTTCATCCCACGAGGGGACGACTATAGTTATATGTAAACTGGTGGAAAGTTCTGGCTGTTTATCCACTTTTTACTGTAGTTTTATTCTAGAACATGAGTTTTGCATGCACAGATCTGGCTTATTTGTATGCAGACTGTTGGTCCCTCACCTCTCAGGTAGATGCATCCCGAATTTGGAGAACAAACCCTAATTTGTCACCTTTTACAACTTACTTGTTATTGGTACAGTGGATCTGTTCATTACCTACCCAAATGAGATCCCAGAACCCACACAGGGATATCATGATGTATACAAGAAGCCACCTTTGATATATTCTCCTGATTGAGTTCAGTTAAGAACCAATATCACGACATCAGAGAATTCTTATAAGCCCCCTGTCCCCATCTTTACAGCCAGCAAAGAGTTCCAATCCAGATGGTATCAGTAGCATTGCGATTGGATTAACGTAATCATACTGTATATCAAACAATGGAAGTTTATTGCTGTCATGCCACTGGCACAGAGGGCATATGTTGCTAGATCCATATTTTATAAATTACCAATTGTGGACATCATTCTGGCCACCTTTACTTATTGGGATATTTCTGAAAGCATGCTGAAAAAGGTGAAGGGATTGCTGCAAGCAGAGTGGCAAGCTTCACTGGAAAGGTCACGGGTAAGGAGCATATAGTCTATCTTCTCTCCAGGCAATGCCGGTGTGGTGGGTAATGAACATTCAAATATATTTGCTGGATCTGCACCACTGGGTGGTCAATTGATAATGACAAGGCAGATGTGAACCCTTTGGGAACAAGCAACGGAATCAGTAGAGAAAGTGTAACCAGAGGGTCTGGCCGGCTCACTACACTTAGAGGAAAGGCAAGACAGACATATAACCAGATTGTGACCGGTACCATAAGTATTGCAACTTTGTGCTGGCTGCTGAAGATGAGGACAGAGCATGCATGGGAATGCCCTGAGTGCTGAGATGTCAATATTTGACTCATCTCAACTTATTGGGATAATTTCTAGAATATGTCAAGAGGAGGTAACACTATAACAAAAGCATCCACTAAAGGGGTGCATAATTTGATCCGATGATCTTACACTCGCCATGTGAGTTCTGAGGCCCCATTTTCTTCAGCCTTCCCCCCCCCCCACACACACACACACAAACAAATAATAAACCCATTGCCCCCTGACAGGAATGTAAATAAAAATTTACTAAATAGAAATTTGCTGAAATGAGATGTGGTGGGCCGAAACGGTGAGATCACTTCCTTGATACTTCTTCTTCTTCTGCGTTCATCCAAAGATGTAATTGCGTTGTCTCCGTTTACAGCATGGCTGCGATATTTGCACCTTTTGGCCAACACATCTGACTTCTGCGGGCATTTGTTGACTGGGTTAGCCTTCCCAGACTACCTTGATACAAACCACAACACAAAATAGGAACCACCCTTTTAAACCTTAACGCAGATAAAAAAGAAAAATATCTTACATACTACCCTTTAATGACTGGAGAAGGTAAAAGAAATATTCTTTGTGGAAAATTGACTTCCAGTCTGAAATTGTTATATTATCTAAGAATTTTATCAGATATTCATTATCACAAATCTAAGGTTTTAATGTGATACTTTAAAATTTGGTTCATTAAATGTTGTTTAAATGTAAGTTTTTCTTTCTTATGCACATCCCTTTGCTGATATTTATTGTATATTGAATGTATTGTTATTTATTTTTCATGTACATAAACCAACCCTTTTTCACATATAGGGGCCATAGGGTATATGTTGCTAGACATATTGAATTCAGCTCTCAGAGTGTGATGTGGTCAATAAACATGCTGATTGCATGTTGTACATATTATGTAAAAACATCCATCATACCCTACCCCTAAAGTGAAAAGCCAAATACCTACACATGTTTTATTTCATATGTGACCAACACTGCAAACTACAGATATATTTGTTTCTCCTGTGATGAATTAGCTGTTGTATTGCAGAGTATTACTGTATTTTTCTCCACACTGACAAACATTCGCAAATATTTGCGAGAGCATTAACATTATAATCATGTTTCATCCATGACTTTGTATAAGTGATCCAATTCAAACAGTGGATATATTTAATTTTGTTCTCTTAAAATGGTTCCCCAGATCCTAAGTAGGGAGTGTTATTTTAACTTTGAAGAAGAATGTTATTTTGACTTTGAAGAAAAGTTATTTTAACTTTGGAGAAAATTGTTATTTTGACTTCTGAAGAAAAGTTATTTTAACTTTGGAGAAGAATGTTATTTTAAATCTGAAGAAGAATGTTATTTTGAATTTGAAGAAGAATGTTATTTTAACTTTGAAGAAGAGTGTTATTTTAACTTTGAAGAAGAGTGTTATTTTAACTTTGGCAAAGAGTGTTTTTTGACTTTGAAGAAGAGTGTTATTTTCACAATAAATGTTTTAATTTGAAAGACTAAGAAAATATTTGATAACAATGAGTTATAAAAACTATTCTGCCGTCCTTGAACAACCAAATAGGAAACACTGCTCTGAAATACAGCTGTAACTCTAAATAAAAATTGTCCCCATCGGTGTTTAGATCAGCTAGGCTTTGAAATGGGGATGCTTCTACAGGAATGAGGCCGGTCTTCTTCTTTTTTTTTTTTCTTCACTTCATCTTTCACTGCTTCGGGTGTCGAGTAAGATATAAGGTTCTGTTTCTTGCTCTTCTGGTCATCTCGGTCGCAGACTCATCCTGCTGTTGTAGAATATTTCTGATGCTATCTTTCCATTTGTTCCTGGTCTACCTCATGCTCTGCATTCTTTTCCTCTTTTAGTGTGCGCTGTATAGTGTATCACAAGGTATTCTCTCTGTGTGGGCAAACCCTAATTTGCTGTCTTTGTATGTAATTTAGAACTGGTTCTATGTGACATTTTTCTCTTCTCATTTCTCATTTCCAAAGTTTAAAATCTTCTGTTCTGGTTTGTAGTGAGTGACCATGTCTGGCACTGGTAGCATTAAGTGAAAGTATGCTTTGTATGATATGTTTTTGGTGCTAATTGGTTCTGTCTTGTGCTGAAAGGGGAAAAGTGGAGGGGGCCTAGCTGTCCCACTACTTGGTTTGCTTTACTGCATCAGATATTTGTTTCTTCGTCCAATCTACCATCTCCGGTAATGCAGAGACTTTATTCTCCACCCACTACCAAGGTACAGTCTCCGTGGGAATAATCTGGTAGAACTCTCCTTCTCTTCTACAAGCTCAGAAATCAGCTGGGTATG